CGACATCGACATTGACATTGACCCGGGGCACTTACTGTGACATTGGGGTTACGTTGCAAACCTGTGACGGTTCACGCCAATCGACGAGCGCTTTGTTAGGGTTACGCCATTTCCGAGTGACATTAGGGTTACTCACTGACAGTGACAACCGGGCAGAGTTCTTTTGGTTTTAGTGTGGTAAGCCATTTATCTGACCTCGTTCCATCGTACTAGAAGCCGTACCGCAAAGTGTACGGTAAAACCTGACATTTCTGACGCATTTTTGATCAGTACGGTCCACGCGGATACCCTGTGAACCTATGATCTCACGTGTAAGATGTTTTCACACTTTTTTGGAGCCTGAGACACTAACAAAAGGAGTCTACTTCGTCGTACTTGCGCCAGTGACTCTGCGCTCTGCCACTACGCTACGACCAAATCCCCCGGGCACAATGTTGTCCGCGGAAATTCGAGCCGAAGGGGGCTTTGTAGGGGCACGCCCACTTTAAAGTCGTCCCTCATGCTCAATTCGAGCAGAGTATCAGGACTTCTCTTATTACCCAACTTATCTCATATTAAACCCTTACATTCAGATCAGTTGCAGCAGGAACAGTGCAGCGCCAGGCTACCATGGCTGACCTGGCAGCTGCATATGGTGTTTTCATCAGCTATTGCGGCGATGTTAGAAGGGACTTTGCTGTCATGCTGAGAGCGGAGCTGGAGAGGGTTGGAGTCCATTGTTTTCTGGATGTTTCCAGCCTGATGCCTGGGGACAATGTTGACGAGCGGTTGCTGTTTGCAATGCAGACGGCTTCAATTGGCATTGTCATTCTCTCGCCTCGTTTCTTTGAGGGGGAGTGGTGCATGATGGAATTGCACACATTTATGACCAGGGGAAACGCAGTCCCAGTTTTCTTCGCGTCACTTGAGGACTTGAAGGAAGCCCGAAATAAAGCAGTGGCGGATCGCATATGGGAAAGGTTTGGACGGAGATTTGGAGAGATCACAGAAGAGCAGTACTTAGGGGCTGTTGATGGGGTGCTGAGAACCACTGGACTCAGGCTGGAAGCGCTTGATGGTTGGTGGGATGAGTGCGTTGAAAAAATTGTCCCTGTGGTGTTGAGAAAGCTTGACAGCAGTGCACGGTTATCAAACCACGAGCAGCTCATAGGCTGTCACGAGCATCTGAGCAATCTCAAGAGGCTGCTGGGAGTACCAAGTGCCGGGGTGTCCAAAGGAGCGGAGGCAACGTCCAAGGAAACCCTCCTGGTTGAGATCACGGGCATGGGTGGAGTTGGCAAAACGGCCTTGGCAAAAAAGTTGTACGACGAGGGGGATGTCAGAAAGTGGTTCGGCGGGAATGTGTGCTTCGTGTTCGTCGGTGGAAAGAGCACATGCAGCCGCCAGGAGCAGATTCTTCGGGAGCTCTGCGACGTAGATGTCAGTATCGAGAACCCTATGGCTGGTAGAGCGGCGATCAAGGAGAAGCTCCATCGCAGAAAAGTGTTTCTTTGCTTGGACGATGTGACAAACGCAACAGAGGTGGTTCGGGTGGAGGATCTAGGGCCGGGCAGCCGGGTTGTGACCACGAGTCGGAGCAAGGAAGCCATATCCAGCCTCGAGTACAAAGTAGAGCTGCTGGACTCCGACGCTTCCTGGAAGCTGTTTTGCTGGCATGCTTTTGGTGGCAAGAATCCTCCTGAGGACTTGGCTCTCCTGTGTTCAGAAGTCATGAATTTATGTAAAGGCTTGCCCTTGGCCATCAAGGTTTTAGCCCGGCAACTGATGGCAGCAGAAGATCATCACAAGCGTCGCCTTTTAGAGGAAATTTTGAGACCTCGGGTTGAGGAGACCCGTCAAGAAGCATCAGACCTTCTTTGGGGTGGCTACAAAGCTCTGGAGCCGGCCGCGCTGCAAGACAGTCTTGTGCTCCTTGCTGGCATGTGGCCTAACTCCCGGGAGTTCAGGGAGTGCGAAAGTGTTGTGAGGAGTCTTGCGGCTGCTGTCTATGGGGAGGAGCCAGACGCGCGTTTGCGGCTGGAGGCGGCTAGGAGGGCCCTCAAAAGCCTTGTTGATAGAGGACTGATCCAGCTGGGTGGACAGAAAGACTCGCCTTGGGTCACTGTTCACGATCTTGTACAGGAGGTTGCCCTGCGTGCCATAAAGGAAAGCATGCGGTTTTGCCGCATAGAGAAGGTGGCCAGTGCTCTTCCCCCTCAGCAACTGGGCGAATTGGGAGCGGAGCACGTAGTGCTAGAGCTGGGTCCTTCTGAACGACTCTCAGAGAGCTTCTTTGCTACAGTTTCTAGCACCAAGTCTTATGTCCTGTTTGGCGGCCCAGGGGGCCACGTTCAATTGCCGAAGTTGCTCAAGCCTGGCCTGATCGGCTGTAGGCTCTTGAGCATTGGGGGTCTCCAAGGTGGAGCCCGGAGAAGGAGGTTGAAAAGGGAGCTCGTCAACCTCCAGTGTTTGAATGGCCAGCTTATCGGCAAGGTGAGTATCAGGCTTAGCGGACATTCTGAATAGCAAGGGCCCATCTAATTGTAGAAACTACTCAACTAAATGTTTCAGCGTTGAGTTGATAAAGGTAGTGCCTTTGGGGTCCTGGACCTGCTTACGCCGATTGTTGGCCACGAGCTGGGCGAACAGTTTGCGCCTGGTGGAGCGGACCGGGGATGGAAAGCTGGCCGGACGGACGACCTCATCAAGTAAGCTGACAGCTTCTCTGTTTGTAAACGTCGTTTCTTGGCCCGGGCATCTGCTTCAAGTCCATCCGTCCAACTTTGTACGGGGTGAAAGATTCTGATCTGACTGCGGTCGCTTTTGGCATGTCTGCAACGTGGAAAGCAATTTTTCGAAGTGAATTTGAGTTTGGCTGTGCATTAATCTTATGAGCTTTTAGAACTCTGCATCATCACGTCTACACTTTGGAAGCTCCCTTGTAATTCTAGGCTTTCAATTGAACCATGGGCTTATCCTAAGTTGCAAAATGCTTATTGGAGCGTCACCACTTCTACCTAAGCCTTGATTGTTCTTACCGTTTAGGCCTTGATAAGGTGCTCCCATGCTGCAATAAGTTGCTTCTTTGAATTTCTGAGGATCTCTGAATTGGTTTGTGTACGGTTGACCTTCAGTCTACAGCCGTGTTCAGGACACGGCCACGTTTTGGAGTCGAATGCGGTCTAGGACTTGGTTGGTTCGTATATTGCTGATTGCTCGCTGTTTTCTTTCTCCCAGGGCCCTCGAGAGCAAGGGCATCCTCTTCCACGACCTCCTCGACCTGCTGCCGGCAATTCGGAAGCTGTCGGAAGAGGGCTTCCGAGCCCCCGCAGACGAGCTAAAACAGTACGTCCTATACCTGCTCCGGAGTTTCGGACTTGCGTACCCAAGCCGGGACGACAGCTTCGACTACGTGCCCATGCGGTGCCAGGACCAGACGCCGGCCGACCTCTTCGGGGTGGGCTTCCCGCGGGCTCCGATGGCTGCAGAACCCCCGTCCGCCCAGCTCTTCGGAAAGCGGGTGCACTTCGAGTTTGGGGTTCCGGAAGGGTTTGCCGAGAACGTAGTTGTTAGTCTTCAAACCCAGCTGGTTCACCACTTCGGCGGGGAGGGCCTGCCCTGCATCGTGCAGCAGTGGGAGCACGGCACGCTGTTCCAGGCCTGCGTCCGGCCAGGGGGGGCGGCCGACAACCACAACGGAGCCCGGATCCGGATCCTGCTGCGCGTTCCTCAGGAGGGGGGTGCGCGGGACGTGTTCGAGCTCTTGTGGATGCTGTCGGAACCGGGCGAAGCTGGCAGCCCAACCTTCGTCGCAAGCGAGGAGCTGGCAGCCCACGTCAACCGCTGGCTAAGCCACTTCTTGGAAGAGAAGGTCGTTGGCCTGGTGTCAGAGGTCTTCTGCCCGTACCTCGTGCCGCTGTACGAGGAGCTCGTTGGCTGCAAAGGGCAGGTTTTGGACTCCGAACCGGCGACGAACGGGGAGTTGGGCGGTCACAGCGCTGCCGGGAGCTTGGAGGAGATGTCGTTGGAAGGGATGTACACGTGGCAAAGAGACCAGAGGCTGAGTGCTAGAGCCCGGCAGCTGTCGACGGGTGAGTTTCGGCTTGATTATTGCGGTTTCCAGTTTGGCGTAGCAGATCATTACAGAAGAGGGCCTAGCTCTGTGTTTCTTAGGGAAAACTGTGTCCGATCCTTGTCAGTGCCAAGGCGAAATTGCGGTTCGATTGCTTCAATTCCCAGCCGCTTAGTCTGAAGAAAGCCTTCGGTTTGCAGAAAGCATGACCAGCCCGATTGCAATAGCATGGCATGCATATGCCAAGTCTCCAATCATACGACCTCATGCGAGTCGGTCCTTCTCCCTTTTCAGTGGTTCCCCTTCTAGCTTTCTCTGAAGGGCCTGATCTGAATCCGCACAGGGAAAGGTGGACCTGCCTCGCTTTCGGACCGAGAGCCGACTGTGAAGGACGATTCGCTCGGCTTCGAGGAGTCCCGGAGTTCTCAGATTGCTCAGGTAAGTGGTATGCCGTCACGACTCTTTGCGGCGGGCCACTTTTAGGAGTCTCTGGCGGAATCATAGTGGAACATCGCCTCAGAGGCGTTTCTCTTTTCAGCTTGTCCGTCAAAAACTACTTATGTCTAAGTAGAGGAGCTCGAGATATCTTTCGAAGTGCTTTGAGCACCCTGAGTTTCGGAAGTCCACTTTTCCTTGGAGAAATAATCCGAAGCGCGCACTTCAAGGTGAAGGAGCATGAAGGAAGACCTTATAGGAAGTTCAATCCAGACAAATCTAGTGCCTCTTGCGTGCCACCTTGTAGCATAGCTTACTTCCTCTATAAGTTTCGAAGACACTTCGGACATTTGCAGGTCGACTCGGAGTCACAATTCGCTTAACATTCTGATGTCAAGATCTTTCCTGTCCAACATGGCAGGATCGATTCAAAGTTGCGGGTGGCAGGAGAGCGTCCCTTTCTGCTTTGCCCTGCCGTTCTTGGTATGGGATGCTTGTAACACTTTCTGATCAAGTGAATTGTATATGGTCGGAAGTTTGTGCGAAGGGACACATCAAAAGAGTGCGCTCTTGAGGGTCTGCTTTCGAGTCTCCAAAGCCGTTGACTAATTACTTTTCGTGTTTTCCAGGAATGGGAGCTGGTGCCAGACGATTTGTTGACCATGAAGCAGGGGCAACTAAATGTCTCCTTCACACGGTTGGGAGCCCGGCAGGCCGTCTACTTCAGCCACTTCTTCAGCAACCGGCTGGTCGAGCTGAACGTGTCGAACGCATCTTTGGGCGGTATGCACGTCGACCTCACGCCGAACCGCCAGTTGAAGATCCTCAACGCCGGCTTCAACAACATCTGCGTCATCCAGAAAGGCAATTGGACTCTTCCGGAGTCTCTTGAGAGCCTCTTCCTCTACCGGAACGGGCTCAGCAGTGTTCCCGCGCACGTCTCCAGCCTACCCTCCATTGCTAATTTCAACGGTGATGGTAACGAGCTCGTCAGCTTCCCGGACCTCAACGAAAGCGTCAGGACCCTCTCTCTCAGCCACAATCGGTTCTCTTCCCTCCCCCAAAAACGTCTTCGACACTTCGGAAAGCTGAGCGTGCTCGACTTGAAGGGAAACTCCCTAAGCAAGCTGCCCTCGGAGATCGGCCTCCTTGTTGCTCTTGAGCAGCTCCTCCTTAGCCAAAACCACCTCGAAGAGCTCCCTTCTGAGATCGGAGACCTGCCATGGCTTCGGGTTCTCGACGTCGCCTACAACCGCCTTCAAACCCTACCGGAGACGGTTGGGCGGTTGACTCAGCTTGAAGAGCTCTTCGTCGGGTATCAGGGTGTCAGCTTGCGGGCAAAGGGACAGAATGGACATCCGGGGGAGAAAGCGGGTGTGTCGTGGGGCCTCGTGGGCGGCACCGTGGCCTTCGCCCTGCCAGAAACGCTTGTCGGAGACGGCCTCAAAAGCCTCCGGGTTCTCGCCAGTCAACGCAACAAGATGGGCCCGTCCCTGCCCGTCTGGGTCTGCAAGCTGCGGACTCTCGTCGAGCTAGACGTCGAGGACAACAACCTGGAGTTTTTGCCCGACAACGACAGCTTCTTGAGCGGCCTTGTCGCTTCGGGGTCCTGGTCGTGGCGATCGGCATATATGGTTGGTGGGGGGCAGAAATCTAGGCTGGCCCTGCCGGCGCTCGAGATCTTGTGTCTGAGTCGCAACCGCCTCAGGAGTTTTCCGGGGTGGATCGGGGAGAGCAGGCAATGCAGGGTCATTGAAGCGAACGGAAACATGTTGGAGCGGATTCCGGTTGAGTTCCACCGCCTCCATAGGCTGGAAGTTCTGGAACTGGGGGGCAACCAGGAACTGGGGTTCGTCAAGGCCGTACAGGAGGGCCCTCACGCGGTTAGACGTGCCTGCCACCTCAGGCTTGTTCGGGCTAGGGCGTTCTCACTTTCCGCCTCCTTCCTCATGGCGCTCCTTGCGTTGGTATTCGCCAGCTCTCTCCCTCGCGCGCTCGGTCAAGGCGAGGCCTCCTGCGCAGCGCCGCGCGCCAGGGGCCACAGCGCGCATCCCGTCCCGCTTGACCTCCTGTCAGTGGGCCTGCTCTTCGTCCTCGTCTTGCTGGTGCGACTATGGGAAGCAGTTGGCTGGGTAGCCCTTGGAGTCGCGCCCACCAGCTCCGGTGCCGCTCGCAACGCCGCCTCCAACCATCCCCCGGAACTGAGAGGTGAAGACATCGAAATTGATTGCTGCCTGATTTCTAAGCATTTGCAGGGGTGCAAGCTAACCGACTCGGGGATGAGGCAGCCGTAGTGCTTTCGACCAGCCTTCAGAAACTCCGAACGTGGGTGCTGATATTTTGTCGGAAATCATTGAAGGTGCATGACCGCGAACAGTCGATTCCACCCATCCAGATCTGGAGGAGCAATCGCTTCATAATAGTGCAGTTTCTGTCTGTAGGTTATCATTCTCGATCGGTGATGCACGTCGATGGTGTCTTCTCTTTTTTGGAAGGGTCCGCAAACAACTGCTTTTCGTTCTCTGACAGACGAGGAGGAGGAGTGGCTGTTTCAAACACAATCGGGGTCTGCCTTTCCGGCCAACGACCCGGAGCTCCAGTCGCCACCGTCAGAGGGCCGGGTAAGCGCACTCTCTTAAGGGGCACAAGCCCAAATCCGTAAATATCATGGATGATGAAAGTTGAAAGTTTACGGGTTGAAATATCGCTTCCTATACTGTTTAAGTCTTTACGCATCACGTGCAAACAGTTTTGTTGAGGTGTCCGCTCTGTCCATTTGTTTGCACGATGAACTCAGTGATTGTTTCTCGAGCACGCAGCTACTTTGTGTCTGGTCTTCATGCAATCGAGCTTGCCACCTGGCAGCGAAACGAAGTTGTCCGTACTTTTTACCAAACGAAAGAGCGCCGAAGTTTTGCTGGGCAGACTCTTGACCACAATCTTTCTCAATCTTGAGGAGGCTTACCCGGGCCAAACAACCCGGGGGAAGTCCTACAGCATTGAAGAGGGCGGCATTCCTTCGATGCAGGCCGTTTCGTTGGCGCCAATTCAGTCCCTGAGCGTCAAGCTTTCAATCAGCGCATCGGAACTGGCCCTAGAGGAAAACGGCGCGGCGGAGCTGGCGGCCTTCGAGTTTGACGGTAAGTATGTTGCTCGCTTCGCCGTTTCTGAGCAAGGGGTGACTGAGGAAACGCTCTAGTAGACTGTTTAAAGTGGGTGCATTTACACAGTCAGCTCGAGTCGGCAAATTCCTGTTGCTTATCATAAACTGCCCCCTTTCGTCAAGCGCTCGTGCAAAGACAAATCGGTGAAGACTGGCTGAAGTGAAGCTACGAGCACGTCCAATCCTGAAACTCCACCTCCTCATGTCAAGGTGAGGACGAGCGTTCAGCTGCCAAGAACGACGTCGGGAGCAACGGTGGCGGCATGCACAAGCAGGGGAAGGATGCGGACCCCTTAACCAGGACTTCTGCTGGTAAGAATACTCGGAAAACAAGTCAGTGTTTTGAAAGTCAGCATTATGCAGATTGGGGATGCCAAACGTTCACAGAATGTGTCTTCGAGCTTTTTTTTGTCATGACAATATCAGGAAAAAGGTACGTGGATATATATTCCACGGCAAGTCCAGATCCGATAGGACATGATTTCCTGTAAGAGGGCATACTGCTCTTCATCGATTTCAATTGCTTTGTTTTTCAAGCAATTACAAGTCGAAAAGGTCGGTCATATAACGTCTCGAAACCGCATCCCGGGTGTGACGTACTCGTGCGGCCTCTTAAACGTTCGGCGTCAAAGAAGAACGAATGGCGCGAGCTAAAGAGCGGATTGTAGCACTCATGCAGCGCAGGTCTCCACAACTTGGACCCGCCACTTGGCGTTTCAGGATTTGTGCAGTTCATTCTCTGCCATTCTCCTCCTTTTGGTCCTTGCAAGATGCCTGGCCGGTCTTCTTGACAAAGTTTAACGCCTGCAAGCTTTTCTGTAGGATTTGAGGTGTTCCAAAGGTATGATGGGCGACTTGCATGTAATATACCTCACTATCATGTTCAAGCCTACCTGAACATCACGCAGAACGCCTCGTCTATCGCCGTAATGAGTCTGAATAGGGGTTTGAAAGCCTGGAATTTGCTAACCACTATGTAACCCATTTTTGGTAGGTGGTGGAGACGGAACGCCTTTTGCGTTGGACGAGGGAGCGCGCGGCGAGGAGACGGACCTCCTGCTCGCGGTCGAGAGAGCTCAGGTACGAAGCTGATTGTGGGACGGACTTAGCTTAAGATGGGCTCGTTTCAATGCGCAGACACAAGCTTCATCTTAAGCTGAACCTGCTGTCCGTGGCGGTTTCAGCATCGATATCAGCATGAAACTACCGCGGAATAAGCAGCATTACTCGCTCAATGGCAGTCACGCAATAGACGCCCCTGGAGGGCGTCAGTGAGGCGAATGTCAACGGGAAGATCTCTCAGGGCAGCCTCGAAGCCCCCTCTCTACACCGAGGATCTGAAAAGGGTGTCGTCCCGCTCTTGTGTGTCTGCTTCCTGTGTATAGTTTGAGCTGGTCCTATTAAAGCTTGGAGGCCGTCTTTGGCACTTCGGAACCTTAATTGCTCAGGACACTTGAAAACTCTTGACGTACATTTGCTTTCGTATTCCAGGCGTCTCATTCCTTGGTTTGCACCTGTTAAGGACTTCTCATTCAAGCGGATTGACATCTGTACTTGCTTAAGGTGCTGCTATTCCTTCTTAGCAGGCTGCTCGACGACTTTCCGCACCTGCCCAAAGAGGCGGAGATGCGGTCAACATGCAGTCCCCCAGCGAGCCTCAGGATCCGGATATGGGCCACCCTAACGGATGTGCTCAAGCTTTTGCAATCCGGCAAGAAGAAGATGGCTTAAGGTACGCTGCCCGTAGCTTTTTACGACATGCTCGTGAGCGGTTTTCTGTGAAAGCGGCTGTCTCCGGTGCTGGTGTGCTTGTCAGAAGGTGCCTCTCACAAGGACGACTTCAAAGAACCGTGCTTTTGGAGCTTCCTTTTGGTGTGGCGTCGTTGTCGATTAGCGGTGCTTGATTAAGCAGGCCAGAAACTTAACGTTGTGTCTTAATTTGACCAGGTTCGCGGCGCCCAAGAGACTCGCCATCTTGGAGGGCGGAGGATGCTGCACCCTGACCGCGTCCGGCCGGGAGGTATCTAAACGGCTTGCGCGTTCCGGCGAGGCACCAGCTCAGAGCGGTGCTACAAAACCAGAGAATCGTGCCCAGTCTGACGATGCCTCAGGTAATGCAATCAACAAAAGCGCTTTCTCTTGAGAAGAGATTCCTTGAGTCACGCAAAAGGAGAGACGTTGAGCGTCATTATGGTACAGTACGAGTTGCGTGCGCTTACTCAGATACGCTCCCTTTCATTCGTCGGAGCACTTGGATGCGGGCGCAAGGCTAGTTCGCTGACCACCCTGGGAAAGTTGGAAGGGCGCAACATCTGTTGACCGGTTCTGTGCTTCAACCACTCACATCTTTCACAACAAAGTAAAGTTCCGCACTCCGCAGATGAGTCCCTACGGCCATAGTGCTTGCTAAACGGGGCCTCATTTGCTGTAAGACCTGTCGTAGTCATTCCTCGGTACATGCAGCTGCTGGTTTACTGCGGTGGTTCTCGGCACTTCCATGGGCGGCGCTTTTGACCTCCGCTAATCCCATTTTGTCTGTTCGCAGGGTGCACTAACCGCCGGGCCAGCTTGCAGCAGCTTCACGATGGAGTCCGCCGGGCTCCGCAGCGCCCGCCCTGCGGCTTGCGTTCCTGCTACTCCTCGCTCTCCTCCCGGTCACCTTTGCAGACTCCCCGGTTCCTTCTGCGCTTGCGCTAGGGACTAGAGAATCAGCCCGGGTCGAGATCCACCTGTCTCTTGGATCAGCAGACATCCACCTCTCGCTCACGCCAGCAGAGCTATTGGCCGGTCTCGCCATCGTCGTAAGTGGCGTCGTTGGCACAATCCTTGCTCTAGTGCTGCTTGTGACAAGTTCGCATCAGCCGGCCCCACCTCCAGCTCCCCCCAGTCCTGCCCCGTCCCCTAACCCCGCCGCGAGCCCTTCCCAAGACCCCGGAAAGACGGTAGGGCCACGATACGTGCGCACTTTCGAGTGGCCGGTTACGCCTGACCAGAAGCCGGTGTGCCCGAAGCTGCACAAGGACGTCGCGAAACAAGGCAGAGTTGTGGATCGGGTCCTGCAGAAGCCCACTAGGGGGGGCGCTGTCACGGTGAGCTTCCGTGTCAAACGCTTCTGGAAGGGAGTCTTCTTCCGTGAACACGGGTATCTTTGGATACGATTAAGAGTGCGAAAGCGTCCAGCGTTCACCTCCGTTCCTGCAATCCGTTGGTCAAGAGCAAGATGCAATCGCTTCTAGAATGCGACTAGAACGCCGTAACGGCGTTGCCCAGTCATGGTTCTCGTCTGCTTGCGAGGAGCACAAGAAAAGCAAGCGGCCGCATGCATTTCGTGTGCTTCTCTCTTGACTTGTCGACTTGTGTGCAGGTGTATTCCACCTGCACCATCAACCATCCTGCGGACTTCAAAGAGATGGGCCAGCCGTTGAAGGTCGTCACAGTGACGTTGAAGGTGTATTCTCAGCATCACCGGCTGCCCGAGCTCCTGGGCGAGGACAAAGAGAAAGATCACGGCTTTTACCAGGTCAGGCTTCTTCTCATATCTTGCGCGCAGCCATGATTTGCGGAGCCGCACTGCGGAGAATTGGACGCGGGAGAAAATCAGCTTCTTGGCTCTCCTGGGGGCATCTTGAGACCACGTCGTAACCCGTCAAATCCGGAGAAACAGTTTCAGATTCGGAGCCTCCGCGGGTACCTTGCCGTTTCGTTTACTGGGCGACCGACAAGCACGTTTGAGGATAGTCAGGTCGCCCTCTGAGGTCGTTGTGGACATGTTCTCTTACGCCCCATAATAATCATGCTGGCACCTCGCGATGTGACAAGTTTCTAGTATGCCGAAGCGCTGAATGAGAGAATGACGGGGTTTACCGAGCCGTTCACTAAGTGCCGCTTCGCATGCATCTGCAGGAGAAGATGCGCGTCAACCTGCGGCCGAAAGATCCTCGGGGGTACAAAAAGCAGCCTGCGGTGCCAAACACCGACGATTTCCAGCGGCAGGTTGATCAGACTTGCAAAAATGTGAGGAAAATCCACTATTACAGCGGGTCTCATTGCTGGATCACTCCACTCTTGCCCTGGTACTCCTTTTCCGTCTTCTAGGCATCAGTAAACGGAGGCTCCAGCAAAAGGAAGCTCCCTTATCATTTAACAATTGCGAACACCGTTTCCTTGTTTGCAATCATCAATCTCAGCATCTCGAAAGTCGAATAAACGTTGCTTCCAAGGACCTTAAAAGTGTGGACAGACACCTCATCGGCTTTGCAGACACAAGGGATCGAGGCAAACGGAGTGCTGGAGTTCACGGGGGTGTTTCCTTTCGTGAAAGTCAGCGGCGGCGGTAAACGGACCTCCGCTTCGGAGGCTCTCACTGCGGTCAGGGAGCTGGAGCGACCCATCGTCGTCCAGGAGGAAGGCGCCGTGAGCAACAAGCAGGAGTTCACTTGGTCAATCTGCTTGGGCCGAGAGCACGAGCGGTCGGCCCTTCTTGCGAACGGGGAGGTCAAACGAAGGATAGTCCCGCCTGAGCAGGGCCCTATCGTGGAGGACTATTGCACCAACTTAACCGCTGTCTGGCTGGTGAAGGCTTCCGAAGTGGAAATGCAGCTGGAAGTGGAAGTCGAGAGGACGTTGAAGTACGTGAGAATCATGAAGGATCGGCCGGCGTTTCTCAAGTACTTGGTGAAGGAGAAGAACGTGGGGCTCGATGTTGTTCAGAATGGGATTGCAATGATCCGGTGGGGATTCAAGGCGGGAAGCGGAGACATGCAAGTAAACATATAGGTCGATAGGTTCCGTATGAGCACTTTGTGTTATGTCGGTCGTCCCTTGCGAAGTATAGTCACGAATAAGCCGGGTTGGATGATCTCGTAGATTCTCACGCAGTAGCCGCATTCATCCGCAAAGCAAGAGTTGTGTTTATTGTCCCTGGATGGGAGGCGTATTTCTAGATACTTAACGACCTTTTTGTCATCTTGCATCCAGGGTGCTGCTAAAGGCTTGATTTATTCGGAAACTCGACTTGATTTAACTTAGTTGCTGACAAGATTGACATGCTTAGAAAGAAGCCAAGTTGGTAGCAAAAGTTGACATCATCCAACCATTGCTAAGGGCAAGCCAACACGGTGTTGTCGTCTGACGTTGAGCCCAGTCCGCGTTTTTTCACTTGTAATCAGGCTGCTGCTGCCAACCTATTTGGCTCTCCGACCGGCCAAACGGTTCATTGAATCCTACTGCCTCCCCCTCAATCATGCCGTTCAACTTGGACCGTCAGCTAGTGACCTCTTACACGCATCATTGTCTGCACTTAATATCGAGCTTCAGTTGCACGGTGATGGGACACGGATTGCGTCCACATATGCCATACCGAGCTGTTCATTTGCATATCAACGAGCTTGTACAAATCTTATGCATGTGAATGGACTAGCTTAAGGACGATACTAAAGCCGCCCCGGACCGCAAAACCTGCGCTCGCGAATACGCACATGTGCATTATTACATAAGCATGCCTAGCTGGCTATAGTCACGTGTGCACGTAAGGAAGTTACAGTAGCTGAGCGCAGATATGTACGGTACTGCATATTGCATGCTGGCAACACTGCATGCACCGCAGGTTTGCATCTTTGAATCAACTGATGTCCTATGTTCATGCTGGGCATGGTCGGGCGTGATGGACAGAAGTACTATGTACTAATCTGCCCTGTGTAGCCTGTGTTATAAAGAATCAATGAATGTCATTAACGGGGACCATGTCATTACCAACATGCTCAGTCATTGTCAACCATTGGCCGGCGCAGTATAAAGGTTTGTGGTGGCATGCAATCAGGAACATTTGACGGGAGCTAGGGTATGTCATTGAAAGGGTTGCTGCCAAAAACATGCCGCCTTGACAACCAACGACTCGGATCTTTGTACCACAGGACTCACGACCTTTCACGCCGGACGACTTCAGGCCTCATCATCAATCAGACTGGCCTGTTCTCTGCCAATCTGGTGAATGTCTTTCTCATAAAAGATGGAGACCCTTCAAACCAGTAGCGATTCTAGCGCACTGCTTACTGCATGGTAAGCAAAAATAACCAGAACTTATCCTAGGACAGCGGGTGTTCCGACCAGGTCGTCTAAGCGGAGTCCTCGTTCTCCAACGAGGGTGCCCGCATACGTGGCCTGGTGGTGTTGGCACTCCGATAAGCCTTGCACCGGCATGCGTCGCAAATGCCAATCTCCGGCATCTCTGGGTGCGGGCCCCAACGTGTATACCCGGCAGGATATTGCCTGCGTTTGACGGATCGATATTAAACAATGCAGTTCAGATGGACCGAAGGTGAAGCAGACCATTAGTCGGAGGTAGGCCTGTTACAACAAAGGTTGCAATCGAGGTTAAGGCACAAGCACACGAGTGGCTATTTGTTGACGGAAGGACTTGCAGACGACACGCAGCTCAAAGCCCTACGGCCTTAATTGAATAAACCGTCTCTTGCGAGCAAAGCGCGCTGATTAATTGTCTCCAGTTCGAGGCAAGCCAGTAACATTCGTCTCAAGTAGCGCAACTGCAGGCCGAAAGAGACAATCATCGAGGTCACGGCTTCACAACAGGCAGGCATGAGTGCCAAAGCGAGTGACCAACCATCCCCTCAAACTTCGTGCAAAGGCACGAGCGTCCCTTTCGTACACACGCAGATATTCCATACCGTCACGTACTCATCACAAGCAAGCAGGAAATCTCACTTGCTGATAGCTAACAGGTGTCTTCAGGTGTTATCATTCATTCAACTCTGCAATACGAGGAGAGGGAAAAAGTTCGCGTTTCGAAGTTCCTCACTCGCCGCACTCAGCGCACTGCGAGGGATGCGAGTAGGCGTGCTTCCGGATCTCCGCCTGCGAGTACGCTCTGTAGTCGCAGCCAGCGCGGGGGCACCCAAGGTGGGGGGGAGGGAACGCGTGTTGCGTGTTGGTGCAGTGGCGCTTGAGCGCATACTGAGAGCGCGAAGCGAAGGAGCACCCGGGGGTCCCGCACACGAACTCCAGCTTCTTCCGTTCCCTGTGCCACAAAGTGGGATTCACGATAACGTCAAAAGCTGATTATCGAATGGGTTAGTTTTAACCGAATTATTGTTTTAATGCAGTGGCGCTTGAGTGCGAGCGGGCGGCAAAGGAGCACCCAGGGGTCCCGCACGCGAACTCCAGCTTCTTCCGTTCCCTGTGCCAAAAACGGGGTGAACATTAACTTAGAGGGCTGATCTTCAAGATGGTCAATTTAACCGAATACTTCTTCTGGCGCCGTGCGCTTGAGTGAGCGCAAAGCGAGTGAGCACCCGGGTTCCCGCACACGAATGCCAGCTTTTTCCGTTCCCTGTGCCACAAAACGGGGTTGACAATAATGTAGATGGCTGATCTTCAAGATAGTTGGGTTAATTAGTTGATTCTTCTGGCGCAGTGGCATTTGAGCGTGTACTGTGAGCGCGCGGCGAAGGAGCACCCGGGGGTGGCACAGACGAACTCCAGCTTCTTCCGTTCCCTGTGCCACAAAATGGGGTTAACGATAACGTAAGAGGGCTGATCGTCAAGATGATACTTTAACTGGTTGAATTCTTTGGCGCAGTGGCGCATGAGCTAGTACAGCGAGCGCGCGGCGAAGGAGCACCCGGAAGGCTCGTACACGAACTCCAACATTTTCCGTTCCCTGAGCCAACAGATGGGAACTGCGCTTAGTTCGGATTGTGACTGTGGTCTGAGTTGACTGAGTGTTTGGCTACAAACTTCAGGGTGCACACAGGGGAAGCATAGGTGGTTGTGGTGCCTGGATCAGGAGATTTAGGGTTGGTCATGATTGTACGGATCCTGTTCTGCTTAAAACGTTTCGACGAATTAGTACATGGTGCGAACAGAAAAGGCGTTCCGTAACAGCTGGTCTGTAGCCTGATTCCAATGAATGGATGGTGTGGAAATCGAACTGGTTGGGGTTCGATTGGCCAGACCTTCGGTTCGTTCGTTTGCGCAAGCCTAAGTGGGTAACCCAGATTGACAAGATTGTCAGCGTTAATGACGGAAGAGTCGAAACGCTTGTCCTCACGTCCTTTAGTGCACAAACTAAGTGAAAACAATCAACCATCAACCGCAGCGCGAAGAGTACTGAGGACGAACGAAGAGGCGCTTCTGGCGTTAGCAACAACCGACGGCCCAAATAGAGTCTACACACTGAAGCAGAGAGGCAGTCTGAAATGGACAACGGCAACTGTCGCTTCTGCAAGTCGGTCCTTGTTGCAAATCGAGTTCATTGATGATAGATAACGGTCAACTTCCGTGTACGAAAGCCCTTAAACAGACACGCACAAGGCGTGCATGATTTTGGCTAATGAACAAAGCGATCCCGACTGCTTACAAGGACCGTGCAGAAAGCTGGGCACGTGTGCACTTAAGCCGAAAACAAAAATCGTGCTTTTGGGAACCCACCCTGACCCGTCTCGAATACGGCAGGCAAGCTTTCAAAGGCAAAGTGATTTCTCCCTTACGTGTGCATGAGCTTGACGTGCTTGTCAAGCGTCTCCTGGCTCTTGCACCGCGCGTGGCACAGCCCGCACTGCATTTCCTGCCGGGGGGGCGGCTTCTCCCCCCCCGCCTCCGGGTGCTTCTCGCGCATGTGCCACTCCAGGCCCTTGGCGCTGCGGAACCGCGTGGTTTCCGAGCAGAGTTCGCACTGCAGCCCCCCCGTGTGCGCGAGCTTCAGGTGGCGCGCCAGCTCGGCGCGCTTGGCGCACGGGCGGCCGCAGTCGGGGCAGATGACGGCGCTCTTGGGGGCCTGGGTGCGCTGCGGGGGAAGGGAAGGAGAATAATCTGTCAGTCTAGCTTCAAAATACGTCAGTCTAGTTCCAGAGTACGTCAGTCTGGTTCCAAAACTGCACGGTAAAACGAGTCAGCTCGGCCCGCTTGGCGCAGGGGCGGCAACGATTAGGGCAGATGACGGCGGTCTTGGGGGCCTGGGTACGCTGTGGTGAGAAAGAGCAGAGAAGATGTCAGTTCAGTAGGAAAGTAGCAGGTAGAATCAGTTTGCTGTTGATAACTGTCTGCACAGCACGAGTTAGGGGGCAAGAGAACAAGGAAAGAGAAGGTGGCAGTTGCGGAAAGACGAAGAGAAGCGCGGAATGCGGAGGTAAGCTTCTAGGAGCGGAGATTAAAGAACACAACGGGAGACTGATCTAATTTGAGAACTGAAGCTTGGGCCGTTCGTTGGAGAATTTTCGCGCATCGAAGGGTCCAAATCCTGCGTATTGGGCAAATTCTGTGACCGGTCTCAATCGGACTTGGGTCAGGCGGCCAGATTTCACCAAAGGTGCAGTGAGAAGGAGGAAAACCGCAGCGCCCTTTTCGTTGGTGTGTTGTACCTGCGAAATGAACCTCACAATCCGCAGTGTCGCGTCTTCACAATAACCTACAAAGCCAAATCCCGTCATAAAGCCTCAGGTGTCTCTTCTCACCTGCACGAGCGCCTTGTACCACGGCAGCTTGCTCTGCCCGCCCTTCTTCAGCGGCTGCTCCTTCGGGAGCGCCCCATACCGCTGCCGGTAGTGGTGCGCCCACAGCTCGTCTGACAGGCACACCTCCTTCCACCCCTTGCACACCGCCGCGGCAACCGCGGTCGTTCTCGGATCCGTCCGGGTGACGATCGTGAACAGCAAATTGTCGTCGATGCCCCCCCACCCGGTCACGGGCTCCGGGGGATCCCCCTTCCGCTTCTTGAGGTTGGGCCGTTTCACGCCGAACTTGAGCGGCTTGTCCGCCCTCTTCCGCTTCGGGGGTGCCGGCGTTTCCGCTTCTTTCGCGTCCTTTTCGGCCGTCGTGTTTTTCTCAGTCGGCGCCGTTCTAACGGCGGTCTTCCGCGCCTCCGCGGGTTTCTCCGCGAGCACCGACTCGACAAACGCTGCCTTCAGGCCCGCCAGATCCTCGGGGTCGATGTCCGGGTCTTCAAAGCCCGCGAGCTCCTCCATAAGCCGCCGCCGCTTTTCCTCGCGACTCTCCTCATCGCGTAAACCCCCTCGTAACCTCTTACTGCCCACTTCCTCCTTGTCCCCCCCTTCCGCATCCCCCTCTAACAGACCTAACCCCGTGCTCTGCAACTTAAACTTGCGTACGGGGCTGGTTCCCAACCAATCCATGCTGCTATCATCTTCACTCTCGCTTCGCAGGTCACTCGCGAGTTCCGAGCCCTTCCCCTGCTGCCCTCCTTTCTTTCCGCCCCCCTTATTCACACACCGCGCATTCTGTTCCGGTGGATCTCCGATTCTCTCGCTCCCCCGCGGGCCAAACTCCCACCCAAACGACGGCTCTCCGACGCTCTCCCAGTCGCTCCGCCACTCCACCTCTCCGTTCAAACTGTCCTCTCGTCCCGGCGCCTGCTCCCGTAAGAATTGCTGCCCCGTCCCGTCGAAGCCCACATCCGGAAAATCAGTGCCCCACATCGGCCCTTCCCCTTCTCCCCTTTCTAGTTCCTTCCCTTCACTGCAAGGCCTAGCTTCCGCACTCCCTTGATCGTTTGTGCCTTTTTCCCCATCAGCCGAACAGCCCACAGACGGGTCTTCTTTCTCTCGCATAAACCCGTTCAGGCTCTGGCAGCCCTCGTCGAAAGCGCCGAACGCTTCTGCCGCGTCCTCGTCCACGTCGTCATCGGACTCCTCGTCCGAGTCTCCGTCCGAAGCCTCGCCCGCTAACCCGCCCGCTAACCCATCCGAGTCCTCGTCTGAAGACGCCCCGTTCGACGTCCCCCCCGGACTCTCGCCCGAACCCCCTTCCGACCACTCCTCCCCTTCGGTCAACCACCAGCCGACGTTCCGCCGTGTCACAATTACCGACACTTCCTCCGCTTTTGTGCGTTCAGCACCCTCCGATTCCGCACCAACTGCGGGCCCCCTCCCACCTCCCAAAGCTTTCGCATCCCCCCGTTTCGACCGCTTGTTTACAGTCCCTTCTCCGGCACGAACCCCCCGGTTTTCACCGACTCTGCCACCCACGCCGGTGGATATCGCGGCAGCACCCGCAATTGAGTTAACGCTAACCAGCTCGAAGGGGTTAGTATCATCAGGCGCAGCGTCCGCACGCCTGCGGACGACCCACGAGATGGACTCATTTCCCCCGCGCCTGTAGTATGCGGGGTGGTCTGGCAGGAGGTCCCAGAGGGCGGAAGCTACGCTGGGAATATGGACGAAGGTTTTCTGCAGAGGGGCAGAGGAGAGCAATTCAGCTGTGTTGAATCAGTATGGACCACCAGCGGCCAGGAAGGTGCCCGTCGAATGGACTCTGCTGCTGCAAACTTGCTAGTGATGTGCTCAGGTCCGAGTTCGGTACAGTCGAGAGCTGCAAGATTTTCCGGCTTGATCTAGCAGTACCTCAAGTCTGACACTCCGACCAAAATACTGGGGGACGCAGTTTGGACTAGCTATGTCAGGACATTCCAGATGCGTGAAATTCGTTCTGGCAGAGCATCGTGTACTCCAGTAAGTCCACAGAACAAACGAAAAGATGGCCGCGCTCACGTTTGCCAGCTGCCAGAGCTCTGGGTCAACTGCCAGCCTCTCCGCTATCGAGCGCGCCAGCTGGGCCGAGAAGTCGCTCTGCACAGTGGTTATGGAAGCACATCAAACTGACTGTGAATCAACTAGATGGACTTGAAAAGTACTGCCCCTTGCCTTTAACGAACTGTGCAACTGGAGGGAAGATGCATGCTCTTGACCATTCTTATTGCATACGGTCATGTTGAAATCACCTGAGTTACTAACCCATCCGAAGATCCTCTGGGCAGACCGTCGCTTATCGCATACCAAGCGACATGCAGAGCAAATTGTACTGGCACGATGTGCATAAGAAAACGCACAATTTGTAGAAACGGGTCATGCAACCACATTCCGATCGGAGATCCTCCACAAGAAGCTGGCTGCAAATCACGCATGAAGATTCACAAAGGCAAAGCCACTTCGTTGCAAAGTCCATAACTCCGTGAAACGAATTTTTTGATCTCCCAAAGACTTACATTCTGGCGCGCCTCAGTCTCGCACCACATGTTCGCAAACTTCTTGGCGTTGACCACCCAGGAGACGATCCGCATCTCCACCGACCCCGCAGAGGCGCGCCGGATGGTAAAGAGCTGGGCGGCTTTAGCGTCACGGTCCGCTTTCTCCTTCTTCTTGTCCGCTTGAAGGCGCTCCTTGCTAGCCATCACCATCCCCTCAACGAAGGCATCCATCACTTGACCCTGGGAAAGAAAAGGTTTTTGGTCATGTCTTCAACCATGCCAATCTCAGAACCCATCTACCCTCCCATGATCGTCTTCGATCATGCAAATGTGAGGGACCATTCCCTCCCACTCAAGGCAAGCTGCTGCAGATTCACCAGAAAGTAATTGGCCGTTAATGAAGACAAGGCAACCGAATCTCTTCAATCTCACCGCCAAACTTGAGAAACAACCTACGCCAGGATCACTCCCCCTAACCTTATACAAGAGGAGGCGGACCTATGAAAGGAGACTGAGAAGGTTGGAAGCACTCCTGACAACAATGTTACGGAATCAGCTGCACGGGGCACCCCCTAATAAGTAGCTGAGGTTTCAAGTGGGCAGAAGTACATAGGGGTTTTATCTGACTACACCAGCATGTGATGCTTTCCTAACACTGTGAAGGAGGAACAGTTGAAGAGTAAGGCTCTGAATGAAATTTGTGCAAGAGGTCTTGAGCAAAGCCATACTGCACGCACGATCACAACATCGCTGTTGGATCAGCTGGTTTCATAATGGCCATGCCAGCATCTTTTCTTTAACCTGACAAAATGCAGATTAAACGCAGACAATGCCTTTAGTTCAATTTAGCAGGTTGAGGAAGGGCAGTTCAAAGACCTAGGATGTGCCGCAGACCAACAAACCAACAGAAAGTCATAGCGTTTTGTCAAGAAAGTAGGTTATGAACCCCACTTGACTTTTATAGCAGAAAGTCTACAGCAGGATCGCAGATGCACACTCAGAGGATTGAAACTTTGCACATGAGTCTGCAAGGAACCTGCTGCCATTTTCTCACCAACTAATGCTCAAAGCAGTGCCTGTTGTCAATAGATTTAAGTACGCTGATCTCATCTTCTCAGCGGAATGTCAGAAAGACCAAACAACAACGGAGAACAGAACAGAGGCCGAACAACAAAGGGGTACAAAACTAAGCAAAGGCCACTCACCTTGATCTCATGCGCCCTCGCAGCGCACCTCAGCAGCTGCTGCAGCGACTCTTTGAGCCGCTCCCCCTGCGGGGCATGCGCGAACGCCTTGATCTTCTTCGCCACCACCTTGACCACCTCGTCTCGCATTTCTGGATAAGCTATCTCCATCTCGCCCATAGCCTCTGTGATGCTGTTCACCGCGCGCACCGACTCCCAGCGCCGCCCCCTGCGGAACCACTTGTGCTGCGCGGTGACCGCGTGCAATAACTTATGGTTCACCAGCACCTCTACCGAGATCGGGTACCAGACGGGGGGATTGGTCCGGCACAGCCTGTGCAAGGGGGGGATGACACCGTCGATCTTGTGACAACCGCTCGTGAAGTGCGTTAGCCCGGCCATCGGCATTGCGTCGATGTGCGCGATGAGCGCGTACATCCTCTCGAGCCAGGCCGTCGTTTCGGCCACCACGTACCCCTCGTACGGTTTACACATTTCGCAGTTGCCAATGGCTTCATGTTTCGCTATCAGCTCGTCGATCCTCCGCTTTGCCTCCTCCTCCCTCTTCTCGAAAGAGGCATCCTCGTCAAGGCACCCGCCGTCCTTGAAGTAGTCTCTGCACACAGACGGGCAGCGCTGGGAAGGATACCACTCTCGCCATACGCTGTAGGAGGACGCCCGGGTGGGGAAGTCTGGGATGGGAGTGGAGATGAGCATGCGCCACTCGAGGCGCCCGTTGTGCCACATGCTTGACGCCGGCGTTCTAGCTCCTGGGGCAGCCAAAACAGCCTTCCTTTTCTATGTCCTCATGCCTAGAGCAGCTTCGTGAACAAACCCTTGGGGGGTTGCTCCCTTCTCTTCGCGCTCTCAGCCGGCTCCCTTTCTTCTTCGCGCTCACTTCTTCTACCTCGAATTTTACTGCCATTTATACTCTGCGAGAAGAAAATGTATGTTCTTAAATGTTCGTTCCCCGGGCATCCCCGGGTTTCAATATCCAGCCGGGGTATGGAAGGGAAAAGGCCCTGTAAATCGTACGAAGACTACTTACAAATATTCCGGGCTGGTCTGTGCTTTGCGCTTGAAAGCGAGAGAAAGCGCCCCCCGGTCACTTCTTTGCAGAAAGAAGGGTCGGCTGCAAAAAGCACAGATTCTGCAAAAACGTATGTCGAGAACCAGCAAGCCTGATGAAGAAGGAAGAAGGAAGAGACAGCGCCTGCACATTGCAGAGTCCTTTTTCAGAGCTGCCAATTTTAGATCTCTTGGCAATCCAATTGCACGATGAGTGCCACTGAACGATGGAGAGGCACATGATGCATCTCGTGGTCCTTTTGGGATTGCTTGGTCGTGTGCATTCTAGTGTCTAAGAAGAGCAGGACTTGCGTTTGTCTTCTTTGTCAATGAGAGGGACTGCGTTGAATTCCAGGTGAAAGATGCTGCGGTGGTGGGAGAGTTGTCTCCGTGGCATCCTGCATTTGAGAGGAGCAGAAAGGTCTCAGTCTGATTCCATTCTAGCGGCCAGATTCAACACTGCAGCTTTCGCAAAGTCTTCCTCACATTCTGCTGAGCATACATTTTGTCATTGTGGCAGGGGTCTTGCTCGCGGTAGCTTAAAGCATGCAGCAACATTTGACCAAGCCAGAGTCTGGCCAAGTCAGATGTCTCCTTTTTCAAACCCCCTGAGAAGGAGTATTGTCCCCCTGCTATTCAGCAATGGGGCAGGAAGCGCTCAACGTGATGGCATCAGTAACTTTACTGCCTTAAGTGCGCTATCTTCACAATATTTGACAAAGTTCAGAGGACCTCTTCAGGTCAGCTTCAATGGTCAGAGGTACTACAGCACGGCAGCGCAGGTGGCGTCTTTAGAACCCCCCCCAACCGACAGCCTCCCTTCATGGGAGAGCGGCCCCCCCGCCGGCCGCTCCCGCTCGCAAACCAACTCTTTCTACGACGTCACAGTGGAGAAGTATGCCGCAAAACCGCTGTCCCCGCTCACTCTGAAGAAGATGCTCAGCTTCGGGGAGAGCATGGGGGGGGAGCAGCTAGAGCGGAAGGTCATCAAGAGCGCGCAGTTTGTGCAGAGCGAGCTGCCGGTGCGGTTGGCCAAGCGGTTACTGGATCTGCAGCTGTTGCCTTATATAGTGGTGACCAATCCGCATATCAAAAGAGTCTATGACGCCTACCATCGCGCGTTTCTCGTGCTGAAGGACTTTCCGGAGGTGACAAGCATGGAGCAGAACCAGTATCTCACGGCACTGCTGACAAAGGTGAGACGACTGAGGTTTTTGAGAGGAAGGGCCGAACTTTCACATCGCTGTGTCTTCGTGAGAGTTGCTCGAGCCAGTCTCTTACGACAGCCCCTTTCTTGGGGTGGAATTCGATCCACACCGTCCTCTTGATTCTGAACAAGACGATCCTCTGTACAATAAGAAAGCGATGACAAATCTGAAATACGCAGTGGCTTTTATTTGAGAAGTCATGATCACTTCTTCAGTCCCCAACCAGTCTCCTGTCATTAACCGCCTTCTGGATAATCCTGTTTTAGAGCAAACGTTTATTCGAATTTGCAGTTGGTGGACGAGCATGGGCCACTGCTGACGAGCCTGGCCAAGGGCCTCAAGGAGTGCACCACGCGGCCCCTGGTTGGGCCTAGCCTCAGCCTTGACCCCTTCCTGGACAACATGTAAGCCACAAACGGTGAAGTACTGTCGTTTCGATAAGCAGACAGGCCCGTATTTATGTATGATGGCTTTTGATTAGCACTTGGCGGTGGGAATATTTTGTACAGGGAAACTGTGTGAGTCATACGTTGCCGTGCGAAACCAAGTATGTTCAAAGCCATACTTAGTTTCGCACGGCAATGTATGACTCACACAGTTTCCGTGTACAAAATCTTTCCACCGCCAAGTACTAATCAAAAGCTTGTTGTCTTCGTAACTTTTGTAGTCAGGTCAACTGAAGGTCCCTAGCCATGTATCAGATCTTTTCGACATGTCAAAGTGGAAAAATGAAAAGAAGTAAACCGTCGGAATAGCTTCCCAAATTATTGACCGTGTCGATTGCCCCTAGGTTGCGCTCACGGATCAGCCGGCGAGTCATTGCCGAGCAGCACATCTGCTTCCAGCAACGGAGGGAGGGCTACATTGGCGTCATCTGCACTGAGGTGGGCGTCGACTGCACACCATACGGCACCCTTCCATTCAGGATAGACACAAGAGTTCGCTGGTGGCAGGGTACACTCACAGTCCGTATTCATCGAATCAAAAGACACTTGCTCTGTCCACGTTTCCAGGTGGTCTTTGTTGATCTTTCTGTGGAGATATTTGGCTTATCCAAGTCGGGAGAGGGCTTGCAAATACCTTTCGTTCAACCCAAGGGACTTCTGACACGTCTGTCTCCTACAACGACCTACAGCTTTCGTATGCTAGTTCTCAAGCCGAAGGTTTTTTGCAGCTATCGGTGGCTCAGATACTGGGCGCAGCAATCGCGCGCACGGAGCAGGTGTGCCGGGACACATACGGCACACACCCGCAGTTCCAGGTGACGGGCGATGCGGACACAGTCTTCTCGTACATTCCCGCGCACCTGGACTACATGTTCTTCGAGATCCTCAAGGTGGGGCATGACGTTATTTGCCACGTGGGCGTGCCTCAAGGTGGGGCATGACGTTATTTGCCGTGTGGGCGTGCCATTGTGGCTTTTGGCCGTGTCTAGCAGCGACGAGCTTCCTGCCGATTCCTTCTTGCCAACGCTTTGGAGTGGCCGCGGTCGCTTATGCAAATAGATTCGCTCCCCCTCAGAGAGAGAAATCGCACAAATGGATTGAGTAAAAAGTAGTCAGCCTATTTTTCCGATTCGCAGTTTAAAGATCGGCAACCTCCGCGATTGTAAGTAGAAGACCTCACGTGCTTTGTGGAATCGAACTCTGACCGCTCCGGGTATGGAACGGACTGAGAAGCAGATTCGCATCCGGCCGTGCAGAACGCATCTCGCGCTGTTGTGGAGCACCATTCTCGCATCGCTGGCTCGAGGGGCACTCGGCTGCCCCTCAAGTCCACGGCAATGCCACCGATCGTTGCGCAAGTGTGCAAAGGGACGAGGGAGGTCACGATCAAGGTAAGTCCAAGGCCTACTCGGTTTTCTTTCGGTCTAAAAGCAGAACAGGGACAGTTGATACTAGGTCCACTTGAGTTTGGTGGTAGCCTTTGAAGTGGTATCTAAGCAAGCTGATAAGAGGGACCGCCTGGTTTGAGAGGCAAGCTCATATTTGTAGGCATCTTGATAAGTTAAAGTGCCAAGGTGCCTTCCGAAACTTGGGTTACACCAGCCTCCCTTCAATCCGTATCAGTCGATAATTGGTATCACCTGGTTATAGACAGCGCAGTTTTACGAACGTCGATCTGATAGGGAAAAAGGTTTTTCTGAACCAAAATCGGTTACGCCTGATTGCAGATCTCTGACCAGGGGGGCGGGATTGACGAAGAGGTTCAGCCAAAGGTAAGTCACCGTCTCAGATGTCGTTGGACTGATATTAAATGGCGTGCCACTGACGAAGGATGCCAATCGTATTCTGCATTCGCGCATCTTGCAAGCATCACCGTTCACATCGGACTGCAGGAAGCGCCTTTGTATTTTTGGCGCGGGGACTTCTGCCAAACCGGAGAAAGCAAAAGAATTGTTTATGCTATTTGTGAAGCTTGTTCAGGACGTTGCGTAGATGCAAACTCGTACAACGCGTTTTTGAGGAACAGATCGAGTAGATCGGACCCGACGTGCACTTTACCACTACCTCGACGAGAAAGAGCTGATAAATTTTTTGGGAAAGACTTTTTATACAGCACTTTGAGGCGTGTTCAGAGTAAATGCACGATATGGAGAAAGGAGAAGAACGAGTCAAAGAAAAGGGGATAAATTGTTAGGAACAGACTTTCTATGTAGCAAGTGAAGTGCATTCAGTAGATAGAAGAAGAACAAGTCAGAGAAAAGCGAAGAATCTGATTAAGGAAGACCTTTTGTACAACAACTTACAGTAAAGGCGTTTCAGTAGAATTGCACGATATGGAGAGAGAGATGAACGAGTCAACCCACAATTTGCAGATCTGGAAGTACGGATACACTTCAGTGGACCCCACCATCTCTCTGGGCAGCAGTTCCGCATCGCCAGTGGCGGACTTCCGGACAGGGGGTAAGTATCACGGACTGTCCGAAAGCTCCTCCTAAACCGCGGAATGGCAGTGCTCAGAGAAGTTTGTCAAAGTGTTCCCCTCCGGGACAGCAGATGCCATATTGGGCGTTCTTCCAGATGACTCTCAGAGCGTCTTCTTTCCTGCAGCCCGTTGAATTGTGGCCACTCCTTTTGTCACTGTACTAGCCTCCGGACAGTTGCTTTCATTCTCCATTCTGCTGTTGCTCAGCTATTCCGCTGTTGTCAAGTCGAGATTGCTCTGAGATTGTATAGTTGCTCTGTGCATTCTGTGCTCGTGGAAGGAACACTCGAGTGCTTCTATCGTGGCCATGTAAGTTCTCAACAATTGCACAAACATTGAGGAACGCTTGGTATGCGTTCCGTAATTAGCAAACTCGCTTTCAGTGGTCATCGTGTCAGCCCATCACAACGTATGGTCGTCATAAGCAGTCTCAGATCTCATAGTCAGGCCTTACACCTTGCAGCTGCGATGGATCCGATGGCTGGGCTCGGCTTTGGGCTGCCCGTCTCTCGCCTGTACGCTCAATATTTTGGGGGCAACATCGAGGTAAACTGTCCGGCTGAGCTGTTTTCCGGTTTCATCGCGGGCCTTGACTAGGCTGTGCAGGGTCAGATCTTTAAGCGGACCAACGAAAACGCACCGTTCGGAATACGCACCGTTCAGAGACATCCGAGTCTTATCTTAGATCGTCGTGATTTCTGATGAGGGTGTGATCACAGTTTATTTAAGGTCGCGGGTGCTGCCGATTGCGCTGCTCCTATTGGCTACATACGATCCTCAAGCAACGAAGCCTTCGAGTAGTGCTTTGACGGGCTTCGGGAGAAGCAACTGAGACGACTCTGGAGGGTCTTGTTTTCGGGGGCCACGACAACTTCAACATATTGGATTGTTGGTCAGGATTGCTTGGTTGCCCCGGCTAGCAGTTGGACTTTGTCACGACCGTCTGCCAAGAGGCCAGGAAGATTGCCTTTCCAAAAGTTTAGGGTTGATAGAAGCTCCGCCCCTTGAAGCTTCTTCTGCGGATTATTGTTCGAAAGGAATTCTCGCTGATGCGGGGGCGCACATGGTGGTGTGCAGCTTATGAGCATCCCGGGATACGGCACCGATGTCTACCTTCGGATACATCGGCTCGGAAACCAGTCGGAATACGTGGAGATTTAGTTTGGCACCCTCCTCGCTCCCAGCATGCGGCGGGGTCGAGCAGATAGAAGGTCTCGGCAAGCAGCGAAAATCGGCTTCTGCATAGGTTATGTGTATTATGTTAGGTCAGCAGCAACTTTGGGAAGGCAAAGCGGGTGCTCTTGCAACTTTTTTTACTCATGGGCGGTATCTTATAGCTAGTTGGTCCAGTTCTTGCTCTGGGTAGCGTTCGGTGCCGTCCTATCTGGTCATCTCGGATTGATTGCTGTTGTAGTGTATGATCGGCCGCACGGTTTAGTAGGTCAAAATAGATATCAGATCGTTTGCAAGCGGCTCGCGCAGAATGCTCTTTTGAGGTGTGACGATAACAAGGGGCATTCATAGGTGGGTTGCACGGTCTGCGCAGCTCTGGCAGGCCGACAGTAGATTTGCCTTTGAATCATCCCGTAGGAGTCCCCACACGATGTTGACGGATAAATAGGTCGTGGTGACCATGATGCTTTATTCTCACGATTGTAGATCAGATTGATTTATCAGCGTTTACCTACATATTGCCCACAGCGGGCGACGTCATAGGCAGCCTGTTCTTGTTTCTCAAGAACTAGTCGAGAGCTGTAATTCTGCGTGATAAGCCATCGCATCCGCGCATGCCGTCACGCTGCCGGCCTTGCAACGAGTTGGACATTGGCATGCGGACCATGCCTGGCAGCTAGCCATTGCATGATCGATCGACGTGGGATACGGTTATCACGAGGCTTGTGTTAACATGCCCTCGACCAGATCATGCAATTGTATAGTATGAACGACAGTCTATTCTTTTGCTTTACCCAGTCGAAGGCCGGGCCGCCCCCATGCAATATTGGAGTGCGAGCTTGCGTGCGGAGCTAGTACAATCCAAGCTTCAAAGCAAGCATACATTGGCGAAGAACTAGCTGCAAATATGTAGGGTTGTGCGGTCCAGCAACAGCGGCCACAGGGGCCGCGACTTTCAGATATCTTCCAAAACTTGCTAGCTCAAAGCTAGAGGTGTGATCGATGTATGGTGTAGGTAGAACGGTGAACACTAGTTTAAGTCCCTTCACTAGCTTGCGATTGCACTTATCTGTCAAGTTGACTCGACTGAAGCAGAAATCCAAATGTCCATAATCATAAGTGATCTTGTTACGTCATCCCCGGCTTTCCACGTCCCAATAAACCTATGACCCAATCGACATGAGCGAGCAATCGCTTTTCAGCTTTTCTATGCCTTGAGAAATCATTGCACTTAAGCCTAATGAGCAGACCGGAGCGCCAGCTCCACGCTGTCTTGCACACCTTTGATCGACCAGATTCATCCCGTCTATGCCTCTACCCTCCTGCTAGCCGCGCAGGCGGCACGATACCAGTTATGTCCTCCTCGCCCTCATCCTCTTCTTCCTCCTCCCCCTCTAATTCCTCGTCCTCTTCTTCTTCCTCCCCCCCCCCCTCCTCCTCTTCTTCGTCTCCCCCTTCTAGTTCCTCCGCTTCTTCCCCACCATTTCGGTTCTCGTCTTCCCGCCCCCTCCTCCGCTTCTTCCCGGCTCTCCTCACCCGGCACACGATCACCGACACGTCGTCTTTGCTCCCGCCGCGCTCGCTCGCGCACACCAGGTCGCGGGCGACCACCTCCAGCTCCTTCTCCTGCGCCGTGTCGCCCCTGCACGCCCCCAACGGATCACGAACCCTAAGACGTCGTTGACGGGTAGATAAAAGCAATAGAGTTCGATGCCTCAAGTTGGTGTTTTTTGGAGCTAGTCCTCCTCAATTGCTTCAGCATCACGTATTGCAGACCGGACTTATCAAACTTGACGCACTGAATTTGGAATTGCCTGCCGAGGGTGCTTACTACAAGGTTTCTCTGAACCGACAGGTCACTGACCTTTGAGTCCAGGGAGCCGCCTTGTCATCAGAAACGAAACACTGCCAGATCTCCTGCCAGACACAGTCTCTTTCTGACCCATTGATGACAAAGTCGAGCATCAACATCCTGCCAGGGACGGCTGCCAAAACCCAAAGGAACGAGAGTAACACATGCAAACGATGGAAAGACGTTGCCTCCGGTTACCTGCTCTTCACCATTCGCGCCACTTCCAGTTCGCCCATTGCCCAACTCAGACTTTCCAAGCCGACAAGACCGGGATGAGAGAGTTTCGCAACTTGATGAAGAAGCAGACACTACCGTGACTCGCCTGATCATCACCATGTTTGTGAATTCCAGATCACCATTTGCGCCGTTCTAGATCACCTTTTGCGCCGTTCTAGATCACCCGTCGCTGACATCGACAAGCAGGCTCACAGAGGCCAGTGAGAATGTTCCTCAAGGCGCGAGGTCAAGTGCAAAACGGCCACTTGCCTGCTCATCACCATTTGCGCCACCTCTAGATCGCCCATCGCGTCCCAGAGGCCGTCGCTCGCGAGCACGAGGAACGAGGTTTGGCCCTCGGGGAGTTCCCCCGACCACACGTGCGGCTCCACGGTGATGTGGTCTGACACGTCCAAGTCTCCGAAGCCCCTGCAGAAGGGAACGGTGAAGGGAGGTGGGAACTAGGTGCGCGCGAGAAACAAGGTCCACTACGGGTTCGTACAATGCTTGCATGGGTCATATTGGCGTGTTGCGAGCTTAAGAGAGAATCTTCTGGGTGAGAAACTGGTTACAATTTTTGGGACTCTGAAGGGACTCGGGCATAAGTGATTTCACGCGTCTTCTCTGTTGGAATGGCAGGGTGCCTTTATACGTCCACCCTTTCCGTCAATCCGTCGTCCTTTCCGTTATGTTAAAATGGATGGAATGATGGAACGGAACGAGTCCCCAATTGCTGAGCCTTCCAGACGGACAGGCATACATACGGAGAGCATCGCACCTTTTGTCAGATACTCGTCGAATGTGAGTCGCCAATTCCTCAGGTAGCATAAGGCCAACTCGCGGGGGGGCAGAGATACTACAAGCCCAAAGCAAGACACTTACGCGCTCCGCCCCGAACCCACCTTACCCAAGCCTAACACCACCCGTTTTCGGGCCACAATTGCATCCTGCATAGCCCTAACCTAATTTTAAAGGTCTATACTTGCCAGCATGAGGCACCCGGCAAACCCGCGTCTCTATTCTAGCTGCGAATCCTTTTCTCTTAACCCTGTCCCTTGAGAAGCGTTCTACTCTTCACACAAGCAAGCGCTACGAGGGACGAAGCGAAGGACAGAGAAGCGAAAATGCGCAACTCGCCGCACACCGCACGACAACACAGCGGAGGCACGAACGCACCTCGACGGCATCAGCCGCCCGTCGACCCGGCACACCCCGGTCTCTGGCTTGCAGACCACCTCCCCTCCGCGCGCGCGCACGCTCCGCGCCTCGCGCGGTTCGCTCGCGCGGTGCGTCTGTGTCAGCTCCTCGACCGTGACGTCCTCCTTGCAGAGGACCGCGCGCGCGTCGCCCGCGTTCGCGATCACCGCACGCGCGCCGCGGAACAGGAGCGCGGTCACGGCGACCGCGCCGCCGCGGCGGAGGTGGAGGCGCCGCTCCTTAAGCAGGATCTCCTGGTCGGAAGGGAAAACTTCGTGGTCGGAAAAGAAAGATTTACTGGTCGGAAGGATAAGACTTCCTGATTGGCAGAAAGAGAGGATGTCGAGACAGCCGGATAAGGCAGTCTGGCTAGATAATAAAAAACGCTGTGTTTAACGATACGTAAAGCTTCTGTGAACTTTTTTATTTAACTTGATACTCTTTCGAACTACCTTTGTTTTCAAAGTAAGACACCCTTATATGCATTCCAGAAACATACGGTCGTTAACATCGTTCAACAACGGAGCCGCGTTCTAAACGATCCCGTGTCTTGATTGAGTAAGTTTTGAAGCCGGTCGGTTTGAGACATCTGGTGTCATCAACCTGGAATTTGCAACGGCCCTGCCGTCACTAGAGTTCGTCTGATGTCGTTCAGGTGGCGCAAACACCTTCAACCTCGTCTGGATGTTTGTCAATGTCAGTTCGCATCGCTCGTGTTCGTCGTTCAAACCAGCCAGGTTTTGAACCTGTCTGTATGATTCTCATCGTCTCTTTGTTGTTCGTTATTTGCTTCCTATGTGGTTAAAGTATTCGACCAAAGCGCTTCTCCGCCAGTCAAAGGCTTTCAGTTTTGCGGAGGGACGGGAACCAGATGTGAGTCTGCGTCAAACCGACTCAAGTCTCACCAGACTAGGTTTTGAAAAACGACGAACAGTGACATCGTCCATGAGCTCTGAAGCTTCGAAGCGCTCTTTGATCTCTCCGCTTCTGTATGATTACAAACATTGACTTTGCTGCGAGCAGGAAATATCTGCGAAGGAAATTGCGTCGCAAAAACTCTACTTGAACGCCATTACTCAAAGAGCAGAGCTCTCCGTCTCTAGATCTCTACTGCTTCCGAACCTAAACCCTTTGTTGATTATGCGGCAACTTCATGGGACAACTTGGGAATGAACGTATGTAATCTGATCCTTGGCTCGGATTTCAGGCGCCTACCCGGTTCATCTCCGCATATGCCCGACTGAGTGCGTCCTCGTAGTCCCCCTCCTCAAACTCCGGCTCCTTCGTGACCTTCTCAAACAGGTGGTCCTTCAGATACTGCGACACGTGGCGGCCAGCGTGACCATCGTACACCCCAAACATGCCCACTTCCTGGCCGTTGATTTGCTCCAAACGAATCGCCACCGATCTTCGATGGGTTTGAGCGTGTGGTTGATTCCCGGGACGCTCGCCCACGCATACGTGACGTCATGCACGCGGCTCGCGCCGCTGCCGGACCGAATTTGCCTCTTGGGCATGGCGACTGAGTTTAGAACGAAGCGTGTGTGTCGCGTTCTTTGTCTGGTCTGTTCTTGTTGAGGAGATCTGCGTGTTGCAACGACTCTATGAAAGAGGGGCCTCGAAGTTACAACAATTGCTCGTGACATTCATCAAAAGTCCCGGAAAGGAAGAGACCCAGAATGCTGCGCCGGAGCTTGTAGGCTACCTTGATGTTACTGAGTTCTTGATACTGTTGCCTAAATCTGATCAGACGGTCCCGCTTGCGACCAAGCACACCTTTCCGCAAGTTGGCTGCTGTCCGAGAAGCAAGCTTTCCGTTTTCAAACTTTCCTCACGCAATCCGAAAGGTGAGTCGCAGTGTTTGGAGGACGCCTTGCGGTTTGGGTTCGTTCAAATACAGCTCTCCTCAATTGCAAGAATGCAGCTCAACGGTCGGACTGAGCCGTGCTTGCATGCACGTGTTCAATCTGCACGTGCTTGAATGCAGCCCAGGTGGAGTTTGCGCCATAGAGCGGCCGCCCAGTGCGGCCTCTCGATGCGCGCGCGGCCGCGCAAGTGCTTCAGCGGCGGAACGATTCTATCACATGCAGGCAAATCACGCCTGTAACCTTTGCCCTTTGTTGAGATGCAGCATCGAACACCCCGTTTCTGGACTAGGTATTCGTACATGTGGTGGCCTTACCATGCCCGGTAGACCAGATTGGCAGTGGGCTTCAGCATTTCGAGCTCGATCTTACTTGTAAAGATCGGCTTTCAGGCGAGCACAAAAGCATGAAGATCAATACATGCGCTGCCGATCGACACGTTATTTAAGATCGATCATGAGCACATGTTCTGCTACTCATGCAGTGTGCAAAAACGTGAGGCAGACCCGACCCGACTATACATTACGGCACCATGATGTACGCACAAGTGAACGGCAGCAACTTACTTCGGTAATTGCACCATGAGAAACCGTGTGGTCAAACCTCATCACACGGCTTGCTTCTGGCTCATGGTTCATGCCAGCAGGCTAAGTTGTGACGAACGAGCTCAGCATCCACGTCCTAGCTCTGGCCCCGGTGCTTTTTTTCATGCACATGGGCTCAGCTTTACAAGCTAAGCCTATATGGTTCAAATCGAACCGGCCTAATAATTGATGGCACGAGCTGGCAGTTTTGAAATTCACGTTAGTTGAGCCGGAAACACCTTGGCCCGGATCCCGATTGTGAACCAGCGTGCTACCTGTTCGTGAACCGAGAAAGTGACATGATGTATGCTGCGCATATGTGGTTGATCACAGATAAGCAGAATGGAGACGTGGGAAATCATCGTGAGAAAAACGATCGTGCAATCAGGAAAAAAACGTGACATCGTCGGAAGCCAATTTGGCATGAAGTTTTCGTGGTAACATGTGCCGTCCAAGCGTGTCTAAGCTAGAGGCTTATAGTCGGAACAGTGTACTTGTTCGCCGTAGCAGATCGTGCCTTTGCCCACTGTGTATAAAAGAACTCTTGACATAGAGAGAAGCTACTGCCATGCTCGATCACCGCTGGTTTCTGATCTCTGAGCCGCGTCCTTCCGTTGTTGCACGTATTTACAAACCAACTATATGGTGCAAGTAAGCTTTTCTCTGCACCAGCAATTTTCGTTAGAAAAAGCCCGGCAAAATTTTTCTACCCTGAAGGACATGCGCGCTACTAGCTTGACTAATTAGGCAGGGCCTTCTCTACACACTAGAGAAGGCCGGCTATCGTACATCGCCACGCGAGATATGTTACACCTGGCTCATCTAGAATATCTAGCAAGGCTTACGGGATGTACTTCTCCTCTCTCATCCTGTCAAAAAGCCTCGGGAATGACTTCTCGGTGTTCCGGAAACCGAGGAATCCGTGCTCCTTGCTCTGCGAGCGGAACAAGGTTGATCAGATCAACAAGTTGAGCCGCACTTCGTAGAGCTAATAGAAGGAAAAGACCCCGGCCAGCACCGGCCAGCATGGTCACGACAATTTGGTCAGATGGGTCGCTTAGCTTTTTTTTTCTGTCAACGAGAAGGAAAGAAAATAAGACAGAAACGAGATCGAGAGCAGATGGCAGACTTTTTGAGGAGGAAAGAATGGATCAGAAAAGGAGAGGATCAGCAGACGGCAGACTGGACAAGACGGAGTTAAATTCGTTTGTGAGCCGCAAAACCGAGCAAGGACACAGAACGAGAACCGCCACAGACACCAACGGAGAAGAAGGGGAAAACGTGCACCGGTCCCGAGAAGTAGAATGCGCGCGGGCGTGCACCTTGTGCATGTCGTTGACGGTCTCGACGGGGCAAGGGGGCGACCGAGCGTGGCACTTGGATTTTTTGTTAAAAGCACGACGAAGAAAAGAATCACGAAGGGAGAAGCTCTGGCTCACAGCAAAAGAGAGCGCGCGCACTCGTGCACTTTGTTCATGTTGTAGAAACCTTTCAAAGAAAAATCGACCAAGAAAAGAAACAAGAGGAGAGCTCTGGCTCTTTAGAAAAGAGCGCGCGTGCAATCGCTTGTTTGTGTCGTTGACGGTCTCGATGGGGCGGCCTCGCGTGGCGGTAAGAAACTCCTTTAAGAAAGACGGCAATGGAGGGAACCCAAAAAGCCTCAACAAAAGACCGCGCGCACCTTGTTCATATCGTTGACGGTCTCGATTGGGCGGCCGAGCGTGGCGGTGAGGAACCACCAGGGCGCCAGCTCCTCGACGGGCACCTTCTTCAGATTGTGCTTCGCCACGATCTCCTCCCAGATAGGGCCCGCGTCCTTCATGTAGTCCGCCATGTCCGTCGGGTGACCGGGGTATTCCGCCGGCTGTTAAGAGGGTGGTTATAGCTGTTAGGAAGAGGGGTTATGAACTTGTTTGTTAGGATCTCAAGTACGTTGTTAGATCAACAGGGAGGATGTATGGTGGAGCGATGGGGTAAGGATACAGACTCGTGCTTCGGTGGTCGGTCGGGTGGCCCTGGTACTTAGCCGTCTTCAATTATTTTCGTCAGAGAAATAAGAAGAAGTGTAAGCAGGGTTGAGCAACGGGGTTAGGGGAACTGATTCGTTGGTTTCCTGTGTCCGCTGGGTGACCTGGGCACTTCGACGCCTCCTCGAAAGCCGGCGAGGGAATGGTCAATCAGTGTTGAGCAGGGTACACGTCCGGGCTTGATGAAGGGGCTTTGTTCATGCTCTCGCCTTCCTTTGTGCTAAATACTCGTTCAAGCACTAAGAAGGTCAGCACTGCCGTATCCACAGCAATCGCCATTCCTCTCCGGCACACCGCACGTCACTATCATGCGGTTACTTCTTTGCGGTATCCGACGTTGTCCTTCGACCCTTCTTTCAGCAACTTTGCTCCATTTTATGCGCCTCTTGCGGATTGGTGTTTGCCCTTCAACCCCTTCTCTCAAAAACTTTGCTTCACACTATGCCTCTCTTCTTGCAGAATGGTCCAAAACTTGGAGGCCTAGCCTAGCCTGAAGTGTCGCCACCCCCGGTGACTCTAATCAGTCCAGGCAGTGACACTTTCTCCGGGCCAACGTGACGTCAGCTTTTCAATGAGCACGTACCTCAATGTCGAAGTACTGGGCGATGCGGCGCCACATCCGCTTGTACCGGAACACGTCGCCGTTGACCACGTTGTAGATCTCGTACTTGGCGCGGGGCTCGGTCGCCTGAGAATAACTTTTGGAATGTCAGACCCTTCGCTTGTCTCGTGGAGACGGAATCCCAAGGGGGCGCGTCTTTCCATTTGATTTCGGATCTGAGTTCATCGAGCGAGTGTGTGATCTTTCTATCGTGTGTTGTAAATTGTGATTTTGAAAAGTGTCTAGAGTGGTATAACCTGTCCCTAATCATTCCATTTTGCGGTGTCGGAGTTGAAGAATCAGACCTGGCGTAGCACGCTCTCAAAGGGCGATACCGGATAAGTGTTTGCGTCAGAACCTGCCATCGAGTGTCTAGATGCTTGGAGCATGGTTCTTGACTTGCATGGAGCCCAGGGATTGGCATCCGACGGCTCAAACTGCGGACCGCATTTGAAAATCAAGATTTGAGTAGCAGCTTTCACGCTCAGAGTCGTGACATACGAAGGAGCGGCTTGGGCCCCATTCGTAGCTTGCAATCAGTACAATCGGGTCTGAGTCACCGAGCAGAGTTCGCGGTTCGTACCTCCCAGAGGTGGTGCTCGGCGATCAGCTCCGAGTCGCTCGAGTCGGTGAGGCCGTCCCACAGTTGCTTGCTCCCGGGGAAGATGAATGGCCGCCCCGTGTGCTTGCAGATAACGGCGTACACAGCGAAGCCCTGGCCCAGATTCATTACGTTGCCCGGGGCGAACCTGCCGGGGGTTAAAGCGAGGGTTAAGCGAGGGTTAAGGATGCAGGGTTTCAAGATTGCTTCCAGGGAAGATGAACGGGCGCCCCGTATGCTTGCAGATGACCGCGTACACAGCGAAGCCTTGGCCTAGGTTCATGACGTTGCCCGGAGCAAATCTGCCGGGGGTTAAAGCGAGGGTTAAGCGAGAGTTAAGGATGCAGGGTTCAAAAATGCTCCCGGGAAGATGAACGGGCGCCCGGTGTGCTTGCAGATGACCGCGTACACAGCGAAGCCCTGGCCTAGGTTCATTACGTTACCCGGGGCGAACCTGCCGGGGGATAAGGCGAGGGTTAAGCGAGAGTCTAGGATGCAGGGTTCAAAGATTGCTCCCCGGGAAAATAAATGGGCGCCCCGTGTGCTTGCTAATGACCGCGTACACCGCGAAATCCTGACCTAGGTTCATCACGTTGTCGGGGGCGAACCTGCCGGGGATCAAAAGCAAGATTTAAAGTGATGCAAGACTTAAAAGTACAACGGGATTCGACAGTTTCAAGAATCTGGAAGATGCAATTCCGATTACGAGTCCAAAAGCCGTGAGAGCGTCAAAATTACCTCGTTCTCCCATTGCAGCGGGTTTCCATCAGAAAGTCGAGGGATCCGGAACGGGAACCAACCTTGAAGCATGACGTCAGAAAACATAGCAGCCGGTTCGACCTCTGGCGACAAGTTCGGTATGGCAGATTTGAAGCCTTGCAGAAGCTGAACGCCAGCAACGTGGCTGGCCATCAAAAGTTGAATTACGTCCGAGCAAGTCAACCCCCCCGGCTTATATAAACGCTGACCGCCCGCACACATATGATCAACGTCGTCTGCTTTGAATTGTACGGTAGAATCGTTTACGTGAATATCGGGGAGTTGAAGCCTTAGGAGTACAAACTTCCAGAGCTTTAGGGTGTCCACGCTTCCCCTCACCCAATGATGTCAAGCGGGCGCGAGACGCTCCAGCTGAAGCCGTGCTTGCCCGCGTACTCGAAGGTGACGTCCTCCAGGTTGTAGTAAAAGTTTTTGACGGGCAGCCGCGGCATGTCCTCCTTGAACGGCGTCTCGATGGGCAGCTTGCCCAGCTGGTCGAACGGGCCCAAATAGTGCTTCGTGCCCGTCTGCAGGTTCAGGTGGCGCAGCTTCTGGGCGGGGACCAGGGCATCTGGAAACGGGAATCAGGCCTTAGAGGAGAACTTTTTTCGATTACGTCCGTTTTGGCAACAGCGTAAGGATAGCTCTGCTTATCTTTACTTTGACGAGCTTGTGGAACGATTGTTTCTGCTTTGCTTCGCGACTTGCCAGCTGTCGAAGGGACCCAGACAGCGCTTGAGGACTGCCTGCGGGCTCAGGTGGCGAGCTTTTGGGCGGGGACCAGGGCATCTGGAAGACGGGAACGGAAAACAATTGATCTTCTGCACGAACAGTTCGCGCTCTCGTACCCAGGATCCTCAAAGTGCGGGTCTCGGCACGCCAAGGTTTGCTATATCCATCTTCAGCGGACCGGGTACTAATAGTGCTTGGTGCCCGCCGCAGGTTCAGGCGCTGGAGCTTTTAGCTGGGAACCAGGGCTTTTGAAAGACGGGAATGGAACGTCTGGTGTTTATTGTTCCACGCTCTCGTTTGCAGGAAGCTTGAAGTGCGTGTCTCGTTTGGCTATAAACGACTGCTTCTTCCGTCGAATCGAAGGGGCGCAGATAGTTCTTGATGCCCGTCTACAGGATTGGGTACTATAGCTTCTTCTTAGGGACAAGGCAGCTGGAGGCAAGTGCGAACCTATTTGCGATACTCATTCGAACTTCAACGTAAGCCGGACGAATCTACATTGAGTTGGTTGTCTCCTCGAATCTGAGGTGACCGATCTGATCTTCTATGTCAAAGTTGCTGGCAGTCGAGCTGAACCGGCGCTTATCCAGCTTTTTTTAAGGACTTTTCAACGTGAGAAGGGTCATTTGTCCTTGACTTCTCGGCCTTATGACTGCAAATTAGCTCGACAAAAGTCTCACATCTCTTTGACAGGCCCATCAATAATGCAAGGCAGACTTATAAACCAGGTCAAAGTAACCCTTCCGAAAATGCGCCTCACCAAGCAGGTTCTTGAGCATGGCCGTGTTGTCCTCGATGTTCTTGTCCTCGGACTCGCGCATCACCCACGTGACATAGAACACGTTGGTGACTTCGTCAGCAATCGGGCTCAGCTTGGACTTTGTCTGCTCGCGGTCTAAGAGGTCCGTTTGGATGTACTTGACCCCTTTCGGCATGTTGTCCTTGGGCCTGCATTTGGCAAGCAAGATGCATTCAAGGGGCAGGGGGGAAGAAATCAATAACGAAGAGAAAAGGAGGGTAGTGGTTGGGCTTCGTATATGAGCTCCACAAAGGAAGCAGACAATGAGCAGTTGCAACGCGAAAGATTAATGGTACAAATCAAGGCTACTTTGGAGAACACCAGAAGCAGGTTGTTCTTGCGTTCGTGGAGCACATTCGATGCCCCTATGAACGATACAGGGGAACCAACGTCGCAATTCGAAGTACAAAGCTCTATCTAATAAAAGAAAAAGTGCACTCTTGACGGTCTGATCAGCGATGAAACAATGATGACATGTGTGCGACACGCTGAAACGGAGACACTCTGCTATAAGGGGGCAACGCACCTCCTGGAGATGCCATACACTTTCCACCCGCCAGTATCCAGCAGAAGCTCGGCGAGTGCATGGCCGACAATTCCTGCATGTAGAGAGCAGAGTCAAGAAGAGCACTTCACAGAAGATCCTGAGAGTCCATCTTCGATCTATACCTTTTGCTGTTCAAGCTTGCAGTTAGGAGGGTCTCAAGTTGAAGCCAGCAAAGGGAGGATTCCGAAAGCTATTGAAAGTTTAAATGTGTCTGAAGGTACAACAGCAGCTGCTCTGAGAGATGGGGCTTCAACGGAAAGGAAGGCGCAGAGAAAGAGAGGGGAACTCTCAGACACAACGTGATGTATGTTAGCGTGCAATGGCCCCAGAACAACCCAAGCTTACTGTGCCAGCTTTCAGCGAAAATATTGCATCATCATGAATGCACATGCACGAACATGCAACTTCATTGACTTCCCAGTGCAAAGCAAATCAAGTCTGGCCAAGATTTGGTATTTCATGCACGGCGCACTCTCGTTAGTCATGCAGAAAACGTCCTGGGAAATCTTAAGGCACCAATTGAGCTTGGGGGCTTGTGATAATAGGGATGGCCCCAAAGCTTGGCCATCGAGAAGTGGCCCAGCAGAGTCTACTAAAGCAGAACAGAACATTGGGAGCAGCTCTTGGGTCTGGGGAAAAAGTCAGAGTGATCTCTCTGAATCACTCCCCACATAAAATGCAGAGCCTTAGTAGCTCAATTTAGAAGTTGAAGAGCAGGTGGGCGAGTGCTGAGGTGGTGGCAAATCTTATTTCTCCAGGAGTTGATTAGCGGGGGTTTACGGCAGCTAGGCATGATCTAATGATCCAAGCAGATAGCAAAGACATAGACAGCACTTCCACCTTTGCATGTTGGTCAGCGAGTCAATCTGATGATTATCTTCAACCACTTGCAAATGCATCTGCATGTCCAGAAAAAAAACAAACTGGAACAAGCGCTTGCCTGTGACGCCAGCGATGAGCGCCACCTTTTGACTCGTCGCCCCAATGTCCATCGTGCGCAGTGCAGACTCAACCACTTCAGCCATGAAGAGAGGAAAAGGCTCGGCTCCGTAGGCGTTGTTGCAATGCCGCCTGTTTGATTCAATGGTGATCAACTCGTCTGATTGCTCGATTAGTAACTTATAAGCAAGACGCCCGCGCGCGCCTACGCGCCGCGCTTCAACATTCACGAGGTTTAGCAAGGGCTTGAACGTAAACAGGCTTCGGGACTGGCCAAAAATCACGTATTTGCTCCCGTAAAAGAGACGTCGAAACCAGCTTTACCTAAATCACCCGCGTTGCTTTCGATTTCGAAGCAGGAAAAGTCGCTTCAACCATTTCCGAGCCGCCCTGCTCCTTCCCTTTTCCTGCTATCTAGCTTTCGAAACACGCAGGTGAGAATGGCGCCCTTCGTCGTCGGTGTACCTCCATGGTCTTTGACTGAGCTGTTCCAAGCCCTGAGCAGGTTTAGCCACCTTTTGCCAAGAGAACTTGCTTCTACTGGGAGAAAGGGGGGGGGAAAAGCACTGGGCTATGACTTGGGCCAGCTTGTCAAGCGCTGATTTGTACTTTATGATTTGCAGGTGAATCAAGGACGTCTTGACAAGGAGGCAGTTGATTCTCACTGCTAAGGACCATGTCGGACGGGTGAGTCAAGCCTAGGGTTTGAACAGGCAGTGGTAATGATCGTTGAGTGGATCATCTGATTGTTGACGCTCGTCTTCAGGGTTGTACGCTGGTTGTGACCGTCGTGCTTGTACCGTATTTGAAACACAGGTTAAAGCACATGAATGGATAAAGGGGTTCCTGCTCTTGTGCACGGCGAAATGCATAGAGTGGTCTGGCACCCATTGCTGGCGGCTGTGGTAATGGTTGGCACTTTATGTGGCGCCACTGAAGTTGGCAACTGTATCTTGCATCTAGGGCACAGTCATAGGGTTTCCACTTTCGGAACCAGATGGCCAGAGCGCTTGAATATATGCGCTGTGCCTTACGGAAAGCCGCATTTGACACCAAGTCAGAAAGATTGAAGGCAGACAGTAGGCAGCGCCTCTTAGCCACTTGAGTACAGAAGAAGAAAACCGAAAAGAAGAGGCGCGCCAACACCTTTTTAAACAAGCCTGGCGATGGCAGCGCATTCACTCTGACTCTCCCTCAAACAAACCTTGAAAATGCAACCGCTCGCTCTTCAGAGAGGAACCTGCCACTGATGTGTTGGAGGAGACTCCCGCCGCGGCGGCGGCCCCGGGGGAGCCCATGGACATCATGAGCGCCCTCCAGATGGTGCTCAAGAAGTCCCTGGCCCACGACGGCCTGGCCCGCGGCCTGCACGAGGCGGCCAAGGCGATTGAGAAGGGCTCCGCTCAGCTCTGTGTCCTGGCCCAGGTCAGAGCTGCTCTTTCGTCTGTAATTGTTGTCCGTCGTTGTGAAGAAGTGTTTGTTTTGTTGAGGGTGTCGTAGGGTGGCGTCCTGGCGCCCGGTGGTGTTGGCGGTGCTTCCGAATGTTCAGATTGCTTGGCTGGATTCATTCGGCAGTCCGTGCATCCGTGTTCGAAGTAGCACGAGGTGGATTGCTAACAGGAAGTGGGATGTTTCATGTGAAGCTGCTAGACAATCAGGGTGCTTCTTTGGGACTGATGTTTTTTGGAGACAGTCACAAAGGGGACTCCCTTGTTCCTGCAGAGTCCATTCTTTGTAGATATGGGGACCAAAACCTGTGGGTGCATCTAACGTTCAGCGGTTGTGTGGAATATGGGGCGTGTTTCGGGGCGCACTACATTTGTTTAGAATCTTGCGTTCGAGCAGAGCTCAAGATGGACCTTTTGATTTTGACTTGGAGTCTTAGATCTTCTTGCCGCGCTCCTCCTGGAGGATTGTCATTAGTGCTCTTCTCTTGTTTTGCTCCTGGTTCATCCTTGTCAGTAGCACCGACCATTTTGACGGTTGCCACTTTGCACTTGTCCAGGAACACTTAACAACCCAGCTTCGAACATCTACAAAAGTTCACCACTATATCTACATCAACTCTTGGGGTTTCGTCTTTGCATCTTTTCGCACCTATGCAAGTTGATCCTGCCACATGCCACCTCAAGCAAGTCCCTAAGTCTGAGACCTTTTTGCTTTACAGGACTGTGACCAACCCGACTACAAGAAGCTGGTGGAGGCGCTGTGCCACGAGCACAACGTGAACCTGCTGGCTGTGCCCAAGGCCAAGGAGCTAGGCGAGTGGGCGGGGCTCTGCAAGATCGACTCGGAGGGCAAGGCCCGCAAGGTCGTTGGCTGCTCCTGCGTCGTCATCAAGGATTACGGCGAGGAGACCGAGGGGCTCAACGTGCTCCAGGAGTATGTCAAGAACTTGTAGAGAGGGGTGGACGTGTCGGCAGGGGACTTGAGAGCATTGCGTTGCGGCTTGGAGGGACCTCGTCCGATTGTTGATGCTCAATTTCGCTGTGTTCTGGATCCGGTTGTCCCGACTCATCTCTGCAACTTGCGTTGAGTCGCAATCAAGCGTCTGTCAAACAGCGGTGCAGTGCATGGTGCGGATGCACAAAGCTATCGTATAGGCCATGACACTTGCACATTGAGATTTGCCTCATCCCACACTCATGGTCGCCCACAAATTGTAATATTAATTCAATCTTTTAGATTAAGATTAGACAGCTTGAACCGCTCAAATACAGGTGTTCTTTGTGCAATGATGTTTTTCTATACCGCAGTGACCTCCGAACGTCTGTGCATGTGACACATGATTCATGGCAGGCAGCGGGCTTCCGTGTACTCGAGTGAGACGGTTGCATCTGCAGCCAGTTGTGTCCATGCGAAGGCCCACAGGCAATGTTGTATCCGGTACAAGAAATCTGTCCATCGCTACGATGATAATCTAAGTTTTGACCAAGTAAGTTGTTCCAATTGAGTCCAGTTCGACACAGTATATGTCTGCTGCAAGTGGGCCATGGCCAGATCGAAGATCTGGCGCGCGCGTGAGTCTGATGATCTTCAACTCTGAAAAGGGCGGATTGTGTGGAAGCCGAAGCAAGTGTCACAGTGCAGCTCAGATAATGACAAGCATGAGATGGCAGATCAGTGGAATGTACAAACGTGTCAAGTATGCACAGCCGATAGATAATGCGCACGAGTAATGCTTGGTCTTCGATAACCACAAGAACCAATGTTCTTTGCCCTTCAAAATGCCTTTTCCAGAATTATGGCGGAAAGAGCTGCAAGATCGATAACCCGCCAGATTTTATCGCGTGCATAAATACACTTAAGCACTGGTTAGCATTGACTTGTTCAGTCATCTGTGGCAATATTAGTGAAGGGCGTTGCACAATTAGAGCGGCATCAACCCTCTTATCTTGATTTCGAAACCAGGAATCTGCTGCTTTGAAAACCCGTCGGCTCAACTTGGTCGTTGTGATTGAGGGAAACCTTGTCGAAGAGGCGTTGCCATGACGGGCACACTTCTCCCAGCTTCTCGCTCCCTCCCTAGTTGGATGAGGTGTGCTCGTAGACTGCGTTCTTCAACCTGCACAATCAGCCAACTTGAGGAAACCAAGCCGCAAAAAAACACCGCTCAAAGAGGGCAGTTTCGGATCCGTAACACTCCAGGTAGCTACCCGCATGCGGACCGTACGACAACAATTCCTAAGGGACTGACGACGAAAAGGCTTAGAGCATCACACGAAGTTGGTTTCCTTGCTACAAGCATTGCAAGCTCAAGACGCTGCCACAACTCACAGGCTATCGCACGTCAAAGCAGCGCTTCGTATCCTCCCAGCATCTCTATCTCAGACAACAGTGTCTCGCCTGATCTCGGACAACAATGTCACGACACATTCATGGTAAGAATGAGAAAAGAAGCAGTACCTCGAGCGTTGCAGCGCGCGCGAGCAGTTCCTGGCATTCTTTTAGGAGGGCCCGCTCCTGGGCCGCAGTCTCCGCCAGCTGGCTAAGCAGGGCATCTGCTTTGGCCGCCTGCAAAAAGAGCGATAACCCCGCTTTGTGCAACGAGAACCAGAAATAGAAAAGATTTAAAGGCTCACCAAGAGACTTGATTGTTAGATGTTTTCGCGAAGAGCATGAAGTTGGCGTCTCAACGGCCGGGCAAGAGCTCCAATTTACGGAACAGAGATTGCTTTCTGGGATATCCCCACCGTGGGCGTAACAGAATTGCATGCAGTCCTGGAGTCGTCGATTTACTTTAAAAAGCAAACGGAATAACAGCAGTCTTGTCTTTGTCTAGCTCCCAAAGCGTGCAGTCGACCTTCCTTGAGTGCCTAGGTCCTTGGTCAAGTGAAAGAGTCCCTACTTGGTTGACCGAGAGAGCCACTCCCTTTCCGACCGTCCTTCTTTTCTGGCTTGACTTCCGACGTGGCACCTGATGATGTTGAATACCGACAGTATCTGTGACCAACCTAGCAAGCGATTCCCGTCGCACCAACTCGAAAGCATACGATCCGAAGGGAGAAACTGGCTTTTTCATGTAGACGGTTCTACGGATTTTTGCCGCCCACCTTCGGAAGGATCTCCTGCACCGTCGGCTCTGCCGCGCTGACGACCCGCGTGACGTCAGTGAGGGCCGAGCGCAGCCGCTGCGGGTCGACCGAGGCGCCGTTGGTGAGCGGGACCCGCAGCATGGCGGCTTCGAGCGCGCCCATGGTCCCGGATAACGCGGATGTGTGCTCCTGCTGCAGAACCGCCCACCGCTCCAACCCGGGGGTCTGCACACAAGGAAAAGAATTTCCCTTTGAGCCCCGAGGAGTGCCCCCTAAGGAGTGAGATTTGGACCCCCTGGCTCGTTTAGCCCGATCATCGAGACTGGGTCACTCTAAACTTGGGGGATTGTTTTCGACGGAGACAGAACTGTTCGCAGGGCCCCAGAGAACAGATCCGAATTTCATCTGGGAGATCCTTAGCCCCATAGAAAAACAGAGACAGGTGGTCGTCGAATAGGAAACTTCCATCGCACCCGTCAAGCCAGGTCTTGTCTTCAGAGCTGGACAGCGTCTTGGCTTCTTCTATCGAAAGAGCATTGAACGATTTTGCGCCAACAGAACCTCGGTTCGAGCCGCCGAACCTCCTCTCACGACACTCACATGGCGTTCTCCAAAACCCATGAAACGTCATCATTCTCAATCGAAGGCGCAATCGGTGCCTACCTGTCCCGCCAGAAGCTGGTCCAGCGCCTGCCCGTGCGTCTCCCGGTGCAGCTGCACCTTCTGAGCGGCGACTGACGTCCGTAGGGTGGCCGTCGCTTGCCAAGCAGAGAGTAAAGACGCCTGCGAACCGTTGGAAGGATAGTGAGTCGCCAAACCGTCGCAGGCTGAGCTGATTGTGAACGTGGGAGACAGAACTCGACGGGCGGGACCGCAGGAACTACGAAATGGCTGGGAATCGGCCAACAAAAAGCGGAAGGGCGCTGCGGATGTCGAAACGAAACGCTCTGGAGGTATCGTCTGTGGTGGGTTAGCGTCGGTTCGGTAGTAACCACGTAAAGGAAGCAGTTCTGCCAAAGCTTGCGACATCCAGGCGCCACATTTCTCTTTTCGAGACCGGGTGGCAATGCCGCGACTTTGAGCATCGCGACTTTGTACGAGGCGGCTCCTGACGGCTTGATCATCATCAGGGACAAATGGCGCTACAACTTGCTCGTACCCACTCGATTCCAACCGAGCAGCTCAGGCACGCGACCCAAAGAAGAGGCACTTTCACGGAGGGTTAACGAGACAGCTCTAAGAAGTAAAGGGAAAGAAAAGTTGTCACTTACCTCTGCTTTTCTCTGCTGAGCCTCAAGCGCCGCTTGCGCCTTCGCGTTGACAAAGCACCACTGGAGCCACCGGTTGTGCAGCACCCGTGCAGCCCGCACCCCATTCGCTGCGCCCGACTTCAGCCCCCCCTTGCTCGGGCTCGTCCCCACCTTTCCACCCCCGTCTTCCTGCCCGCTCTGTTGCCCCCCTAGAGGGCGTACTCTCCCTCTCGAACTCCCCCGCGGCTTGGCGGAATCCGAGAGCTTTTTTGGACTGGCAGGGGCCGACCCACCGCTTTTCCGGCGAGACGCAGATGAAGTGCGCTTCGGCGAGGCCGGAGCTGATACCGTCTCCTGTCGGGAGGGGGTCGCAGCACGCGACTCGGCAGGCGTAGTTGTTGACGAACCGGCCGCAGACCGAGTTGGTTTGAGGGGTTTGTGAGGGGAGGAGGGTAGCCAGTGACCGGCATCTCCGAAGCTGCTGAAGGGCGCTCGTTGCCTCGCTGGCGCGCCGTTGCTAACCGGCTTGCTAACCGGCTGGCTAACCGGCTGGCTAACCGGCTGGCTAACCGGCTGGCTAACCGGCTGGTTAACCGCAGCTACGGCTTTGCTCCTAAGCCCAGAATCGGTCGCTCCGTCAACACCGTTCGCCAAGGGTTTGCTCTTACTGCTGTCCAGCCAGACCCTCGATGGCACCACGACACCCCGCGCCTTCTTCCCTGGCGTCGATCGCCCGCTGCTCGGCGCCTCCCCTTCCGCATCTCCGTTCTGCGACCCCTCTCCTGCGCTGGCCAAACTCCTCGCGCTGTCTTCCGCTTTCAGCTCCACATCGCCTCCCCGCTCTCGCAGCGCCACCAACCATTCGGACGGTTTTCGGACCCTCTGCACGTGGTCCGCAACTGCCCCCGTTGCTGCCCCCGGCTTGCCGTTCTGCTCCCGCAGAGCCGCCAACCACTCCGACTGCTTCCGCACCTTGGGACTGTCTCTGGACGGAATCTGCCTGCTTCCCGTGGACCACGAGTTCTTTGCATCCTCCCGGGTCCACGACTTCGCACGCCTAGTTGTTGCCGCTTCCGCGCGCGTGCTCGCACCCTCTCCGGACCCGGCTCTCTCTCTCCTGATCTCCTCATCCGTTTCGGACGCGTCGAGGGCCTCGGATGCTCCTCCGACCTGTATCAAACTCAACCGCTCGCGGACTGCCTCGAGAATCGCGGCCGCTGGCCCACCGAAACTGTCTGACGCCTCAAACGGCTCTGAAACGTGCCCATTCTCATGTGGGGTGACACCATCCTCCAAGGATCCGAGAGCTGACCCCTGGTCAACTGAAGCCAGTTCCACTGCATGGGGCTGCCCCTTCTCCGCGGCCGGACGGGATCCGCCGTCAGCACTGATGTCAGCGCTGACATCAGTGCTCGAATCACGCCTCCCGCTGGCTTCCTTGCTCTCCTCGTTGCCTTTCTCCGCAACTCTCTCCCCTGCGTTTCCTTTCTCAACCTTCTGAGCAGCTTGCTTTCCTGCTATCCCTTTCACCCCCTTTTCGGCCGTCTTCTGTTTACTCACAACGACCACCGCTTCCTTTGACGTGGCCCCTTCTTTGGGCCGCTGACGGAGCAAGGAAAGACTCCGAGAAGAGCTCCCCTTCTCTCCCTTTGCAGCTTTTCCTCCTTTGGGAGAGCTCTCTACCTTCTTCTTATTGTCTACCTGCTTCTTGGTTGGGGGGCCAAGTGAGGGCTCTCGACGGGAGTCCAGCGAAGGCTGGTTCCGTGGTACCGAACCTGCCCTACCCGTCTTGGACTTGTTGCTGAAGAGCGAGTTGAGGAAGCGCGACTTGACTTCGCGGCCCTTTGCCACCTTCTGAGGTTTCACGCTCTCTGGAAACACCGACGAAGAATGTTCAGAAGCTGAGCAGGCCTAGGCATGTTGTCCCAACAGTTTGTTAGAAACTCTCAGGACCAAATTTGAAGTGCAGAGTTGGTCAAAAGTGCCCCTTTTGCCATGTTACACAGCAACGTTTGCGATAAGATAACAGCGAACAAACGAAATGAAGGAGGCCACATGCGAGACTCCGCTGATACCTACTTCACCCTGACTTTATCTGGGGCCGCAACCTGGCTTGTGCCAAAGCTCTCCAACACTCATTCAAACTGAGGGGACTGGAAAGATACAATGTAGAGCTTGACTTACGAAGGCTCGTCTCTGACTGCAAAGTGGAGTCAGATGGCGAGGCTGATGTAGGGATGACCTCAGCAGGTCCAGGAGCAGCCGGCAGATCATCGCCCTGCTCCGGCTCTTGCTCTTCTTTCGAATCCAAAAACTCAGGCTCAGTACTCTGACTTGAGGCGCTCAGTTCTGGACCTAGCTGGTTGTTGGATGCTGCGGTTTCAAACCTCTCCTCAAGCTTCCGCCTTGACAAGGAACTGTTTTCTGCTGGCAGGGTCGCAGCAGGCGCCCCTTCTTTCTCTGATGCAGCCTCATCTGCAAATGCATCTCTTACCGTCAGCACTCGAACCTGGTCCTACTAAGCTGAAGCCATATTACTTCCCAGAAGGCTGATTTGGAAGAGAACATTCTCGTTCAATTGCTTGAAGATGTGGCAAATTGCCAAAACCACTAGTTGTTGTATAGCAGAGTATTATATTAACATTCATTTTGAAACCAGGATTGGGTAAGTCAGCTGCTCAAGAACTTTCGCAGCTGAAAACAACCTCTTGGTCTGCACAAAGAGGGGGATGCGCAGATCACCGATCCATCATATAAAATCCCAGAACTGCAAGCTTCAACAAGAGGTGGCATGTGGCTGCCAGCTTTCAAAGAATGTTTTAGAGGGCTTGCGCGGTCCAACTATAGGGGCGGATGCAATAAGCTCCCATAAATATTTTCAATTTTCAACGTCCCTTCCTTAGGGCTTCCTTGCAGAATTTTCAATACCTTCTGACCAGGAGGTGACCTTGAGAGTAAGGTGGTAAATTGGATCTGCAAATGACAGCGAGGGTGCTGAAATGCAATCTCGAGAAGCACATTCGTTCACTTACCCTTTGACGGAGAAAAGGATAGCCTTTTTGAAACAGCGTCAGCGGATCCCCTCCTAGTCAGCGCTCTGAACAATCTGGAAATCGAACCGCCTGACTGCCGTCGCTCATCCCCTCCCTCACGCTCGGGCGTCATGGTGCCTGCTCTGAAATCACACGGCCTGCATTCTGCAGATGTTTACAGACCTTACAACATGTTGGCAACCTCTTTCATTTCTGTCGAGCACCATTCCTCCTCACACAGAAATGTAGCACTTCAGCCAGATGTCTCCGCTGCTCCACCCGCTGTGCAAATCGTTTGTTTTCAGAACTTTATGGCGCCAAAGAGGCGACTGTCAACGGTCCGCTGGGCGCTCAACGTTGTCTTCTTGCTTATGATCCAACACCGGGCCGGTTATTAACCCGGGCAGGAGCAACCGAGGCCTTCTTGCACGATCGAAACTTGGTCACCCAGGGAGCTTCGGCCAGTACACGGTAGCTCCACATAAGGGCTGCTGAGGGTTGTCGGATATGTCTTGAAATTACTCAAACTTAAGGTGG